TTGGAATGTACATCCATGTTCTTCCAAATTTTGTGAACCGGGTGGTGAAGGTGAGTCCCGTCGGGTATGTCACTGCGGGTACAGGACACATCATTTCAGGTGACATTGGTGGACAAGACACCTTCCTTCGGTTTGCTTGCCATGGGATTGACAAAGTTATAATCCCTCCTGCTGGGGTTTTCAATTGATGGTGTGTATGGTGTAGAGATAGCCACTACCAGTTCTTGTTCATCCTGTTTACTGTAACATACTAGCTTGTCAGGCAGGGCAGTCTATTCTGTTAGGAGTCTGCATTTTTAGTGTCACTCACATTATTTCACTATCTCCAACAATCCCTAGGCTATAGCTTATGCTGGTCAGGTCATGTCCACGCTGATCACCCCCTAACCCCTTCTGTTAGCGCCAGTTTTCTTTCTACAAAAAAGTGGCCTTGTTGAGAATGTGTGCTTTAGTACGGCAGCATCACATTACTCACTGAATGGACGTTAGCGGCACTTTTTGCGGACAATGAAAGTGTCAAAATGGTTGTAGAACTTGTAGACCCCTTCAACACGAGCTGAACCTTTCCAGGAATTGTTGAGTTGCGCTTCACTAGGGCAACACCAGCAAGTGTACGGTATTCTGTACCCAAAGGATCTTGCTGAAGCTTAGCAGCGGTGGCCTTAGAGATAAGGATGTGCAGCTGCAGTGTCTTCGTCAAGAAGGCGGGATCCTTTCTGATCCTTGTCTGGCGGAAAATTCGCCTCAAAATACGGGAAAGAAACGCGAGATTAATGTTTTGCGATTTTCAAGCAACTCACCGCGTTGAAGTCGCTCAGTTGAGCAAAACCCTGATCCACAGGCGCGAGGATTGTGATGCCAGTCTCGGTCGTCGAAAGCAGCTTGGACAAGGAGCTTATTCCTGTACACGACAGTGCGACTTGAAATGAAATAATGCTAGCACATAAACAGACAGAAGAAGTGCAGTCGCCCGCGAGAGGAGCGGACCTGCAAGTCGCAGATAAGCCAGAAAGTTCCAATGCCTGTCAGTCTTCTGAAGCTTGGTCCAAACGTAGCTAAACTCCTGACTTCCATCCCTAAGCTTCTGATCTTGAAGTGACAACTGCATGGTCGCGAGTAGGAGGAAAACTAGCAACAGGCTTCTTGCCATCTCTTTCTACGTCTGCGGAAGTCTCAGCCTGCTTCTCGGAATGAATCTTAGCGAAGAGGTAGAATAGAGGCTGTATTGGGGATAGCAACTTCACGAGGATCGAATACATCAGAAAATGTCTCTCTGGCAGGGAATGGAGTGAAAAATCCACTGTAAGGACACAAGCTGCCTTTTCGCTTGCGTTTCCAAGCGGGAGGTACTTAGGTTGATTTACAAGGGCCTATCTTCTGAACCACATGGTTCAGATCGTGTCACAACAGTCCTATCACTGGAAATTGAGTTGAGTGAGTTTTGCAACCTGTTCGCAAAAACCTACGCAATTGTACCTTCGGGAACAGGGCCTAAATCTCCACTTTCACAACACATCCATCCCCCCCTTCCCCCCTTCTCTCCAGTTGCTGTCAGAGCCATTCAGGCATTTCGAGTGTTTCAAGCCCTACACAACCATTTGCCGTTAGCGGCACCTGTGATCTTCACCATCAAGCACTGACGCACACGTTTCTTTGCTACGTTGAATTCTCATCTAATCTCCTCTTTTAGGGCGTCTACTGAGAAGAATAGGAGATATTGACTATTCTACCCCTTTATTTGCTTCGACCCCTTTAGGGTGTTCATGCAGTCCACATTGCAATAGTTCAGAGCTCCGTCGCCGTCCCCTTACACTTCCAGGATTCAGCCAGCTCATATGTTTCTCCGTCAGTGCTTGCGTTTCAGTCTCATCCGTCACTTCTGGCTAGTGATACTTATTGCATCCGTATCTATCACACTCACCTCCGTCCCTTTCACTTCCGTTTCCGCCTCGAAGTTCGAGTCCGGTTCTCTCCGATTCGGCCGGAAGCCTTTATACCAGCGTTCTCTGCATCAGCTTTCCGTTAGCACACCTTCAAGAGCATGCGTACATACTGTAGAAGGACGCACCCTTATCGCGGATGACCAGGGCTACCTGTGCAATTGGTCTGACTTAAATTTCAGCACTGGTTGCTGTCCGTATGCTCGCGATGGAGAATCAGACGGCGGAAGAAGTTCGGGAACTGGAACCGATCTATCCTTCCGTGGTGAACGCGCCGGGTCAGGAGCAAAAGTTCATCAAACGTTGAGATTTTCTTGCCAGTCTTGTAACGTTACTGACCGGTGTTGCGAAGTCTACGAACAGTGTGTAACCTGCTGTCAAGATCCTGATCGTACTCCGCCTCGATTGGCCACAATTATCACCACTGCAGCTCAACCGTCGGCTGGACGATTCTTGTCAGTTTTTGAATTCTGCCGGCACCGCTGCCGGCACAACTCTAAGAGCGTGGTTCATGAGAACGCTTACATAAGTGACAGACACCACTGCTACGGCCTGCCAGTTGAAGTGCAAGCAGCGGCTGATGCAGCAGCAAGCGCAGCAGCTGCTGCAGCTGCAGCCAAGAAGAAATTCAGAGATGGAGACATTGGTAGTACCAGTGGTGAAAGGTCGAAGGGTGATATAACGGGGAGCGTTCTTTCAGCCTTGGATGGCGACAGTGTACTAGCAGCTAGTGAAGAGCCAAGGAGAAGCAGTGGTGATGCCGCTGCTGCTGGTGCTTCTGGTGATGCTGGTGCTGCTGTTGGTGCTGTTAATGGTGGTGGTGATGGTGCTGTTGGTGAGGGGAGTTTTCGTCAAGGACTGGAGGACGTGGAGTTGAAGATGGAAATAGGGAATCCTGGCCAGTCCTGTGATGACACGTGCGCAGAGCGAGGCTTGAAGGTAAATCGGTTGTCTCAGTGTGTGTTGCTTCCCATTTTCTCGCATGTAGTTTGTCATCCTTGCTGCATAGTACTGCCTCGGACATTGTAATGACAATGTGTTACTTCCTAGGGGCGACAGGATGTGTGTCTTCCCTGTCACCCTTGCCTCCACCCATTTTTCAATGCCACCCTTGCCGTAGCCCTTACCTCCCTGCCAACTTGCCCCCACCGTGTCTGTTTGTTTCTAAGCAGCCTTTCTCATGTCTCTCTCCGATGCATTGTCTGATCAATCTCCCCCCTAAATCACGGTTCCTAATAAACTCGCCTGTGCATTGTTCACTGGTTTCTCTGCCCTGCTTCTGTCCCCAACAAAAGTCTCCTACGCATTGTCGGACAGTTTTTCCCCCCCTGCAGTGTTTCTGTCATCTCCCTTCTCACATACGTCCGTATTCTTGATGTTCCGTGCACATGAAATCTCCCATGCAGTGTCAGGCCGACCTTCTCCCCCGCATCAACAACTGTCCTCTGCTCCGTCATTTCTTCCCCTGCACGCCTGGCTGCTTCGCCTCTCTGGGAACAGAGCAGCCAGCAGAGGTGGTAGAAGCACCTCTGGATATAGCCTCTGATACACCACAGCACATACACCTGTTGGAGAATCCTTCTAGGCAAAATCCGCAGCAGAGGAAGTTGCTGCAAGACCTCAGGGGTTATTCCAGGCAGGGTCAGGTGGATCTGCATGAGCAACAGCAGCAACAACAGCAGCAACAACAGCAGAGGTCGCAGGCTCAGTTCATGCCTCGTACTTGTCTAGTGAGCCTGGACCCGAATATGCCGTCCTGTGAGGGAAGCCACCCAGACATGCGCAGGCTGTGCCCCTGTAGCTTGGTGCATTCTTGATGCAGTAGGTGTTTATCTTCATGTTATAACATGCTTAATTCCTGAATGCAAGGGAATACATGCACTCAATTGCATGGGTAAGCCCGCAGGTCCTGGTTGGTTCCAATACAGCATCACAGTAGCCCCAGTTTCCGCTATTCCTCTCCGCTTGATAACTGTATGCAACACAAGTTGCCAGTCTTGCCGCTAGGCCTTGTGGTGCTTGCATACCACAGCTGCCTCAATACGTTTCAGAAAGGATTCCAGTGCTCGGGCAGCTCCCCCTGGGAATCCAGCGCGCTTTATGGTTGAGCACGGGGAATGCAAGCAGCACTTACCAGTCTTCAGCTGAAATGCTTCTAGAGCTTGTGCTTGACTCGAGATCTGTGAATAGAACGATGGGTGCAGCAATATTGCGATTTTCCTGGATGCCTTGGTACCCGGAACGAAGTGTGAGAGAGCCGTTTGTAGCGAGGGAGCCATTTGTTGCTTGCGGCCGATTCTCATGGCACGAGGGCTCCCCCACCAGAAATTCCACGCCGACGGAGCTTGTTCAAGTCGACTTACCGGTATTTCGAATTATCAACGGTGGTTTTTTTAAATCTGCACATTAGTAGCTCGCGCTAATCGCTGCAGAAGCGATGAAAGTCAGGTGCCATCAGCGAGTTGGATTCGTCCAAGCTTGCATCCTCGCGTCACTAATCACTTCCCCGTCTTCGCTTCCCGCCACTCACGTCCATTCGTTCGTGTCCTAAGTGACTGAATGTGACACGTTACGTGAGGCGGTCACGACTCACGAGTCCACATCGCGTTTGCCCGTGGAATTCCTGAACGCTGACAGCCACGAGTGAAATCCTTTTCCGTCTGAAACAGACCAGAGCAAGGATCGGCCTTACTGTGGTTTCTGCTACTGTACATAGTTGACATGACCACAAGGTGTCATAGTTGACATGACTTCTGTGGAACAAACGACAGGAAATGGCGACCGTCAGTGGCGCGGGTCAGCTCGAACGCACAGCAGAGCAGTTGTTAGGCTGTGAGAGAACCATTCGTTGTGCTCCTGTGATTTCTGTTGGAAATTACATTTGACGCCTTGGGGTTGCCGTTTCCTTTATTGAGTGCTTCGTGACAGAACAGGCAGACGGTGGAGGTGATAAGTCTGGGGATCAACCAGATGGTGGGGTCAAATACTCGCAAACAAATGCTACAGAGGAGAGTTTTTGTGAAGATTTGTGCATAACTTCTCCTAGCATCTGCACAGAGCTCATGTAAACATTTTCATTCCGCCGTCTTCCTTGAGCGCTTGCTGTGCAATTGGCCTCCATTGCTCCGCAAGGGACTCATTCAACCCCATGCCCATGGCCAACCCTCTAAGCAACTGCATGGTGCGTACCACAAAGAACAGATCCTCTGGAAATTTCTGCCAGAGAAAAAACCAAGTCGGACAATAAAAAGGTCAGACAGCATTCTTTGGTGGAATTAACTCTCGTGACAGAATTGTTGTGGACAGGTAAAAAAGGTTGCACAATTAACACTGATCAAACAAGCTAGGTAACATACCTCAATCCCGTTCCTCTTCAGGGTAGATTCGCTCGCAAACGGGTTTGACGTCGTAACACCCTCCGACACAGCAGTGTCAAACATGAGTGAAGACATGCGGTGGAAGCTCTTGGGATCCTCGAACACAGTCCTGGTAGTCCGAATTCCCAAGGCCTGAAACAATGAGCCGACTCTTGGCATGTCTTTATCAGCCACTGCTAGCATCAATCGCGCCAGGTTTAGACGAAGAGAGTCCGGGAGGCGCTTAGTCTGACCGTAGTCCAACAAAGCAACCTGTATGTATGAAAGGGAAATGGAACCACAGTGGTTGAAACAGCAAGAATGAGTCTTTGTCAGCCACTGCTAGCATTGATCGTGCCAGTTTTAGACGCGGAGAGTCCGGGAGACGCTTCGTTTGGCCGTAGTCCAACAAAGCAACCTGTATATACGTTTGGGAAATGGAAATGATGAGGGATGTGGAATGAAGTAGCAAGCACTAGGTTTGATGAAAGTGATTCGCATGTGGAAATATTTTGTATGACTGACCTTTCTATCTGGGCAGATGAGAAGGTTTCCTGGATGGGGGTCAGCCTGAAAATGCCCGTCCCGCAAGATCATCAGCCCGTAAGCTGCCCCGAGTGACCGAAAGATTGACCTGTTTAAGAATTGCGACAGATAGCAACAAAGAACAAAGGCAGGAACAGAGGCGTTGAACGCCACAGGGGTGTGCCAGTTCAGCCAGAACCCCTCTTGAATCACCAGATATCCGGTGCATCACGAGCTGGTTTTTGAGAATTCTCAAAAACCAGCTCGGTGCATCACCCTCAACTCAACACTTACCAGCGCCAGTGTGCGGGTGAGTGGGCGGGCTCAGCGCATTGCGCTCAACTCTAACCGGCCCTGGACTAGCGCATCGCCGAAGCAGTAAAGGGGTGAACAACTAGTTTCTCGCACCCCCTTAGCTCTGGTGGCAAGGAAGCTGTTGGGGTTGACGCCCTTGGCTCTCATGTGCTCCTCCATGCCATCACAAGCGGAGAGCCCTTGATCCGATCCATCACTAGCACATGGCACATGGCACATGGCGCATGGCACATGGCACATGGCCATATGGCACATGGCACATGGCACATGGCACATGGCCATATGGCGCATGGCACATGGCACATGGCCATATGGCACATGGCACATGGCACATGGCCATATGGCACATGGCACATGGCACATGGCACATGGCACATGGCACATGGCCACATGGCACATGGCCATATGGCACTCACCTCTTGGCCCGGGTAGCAAGGTAGCTGCTGGGGTTGACGCCCTTGGCTCGCATCTCTTCCTCCATCTTCACAATCGGAGAGCCCTTGATCCGATCCATGATGAGCAGGCGCTGGGTCACCAGCCCGGGGACAGGCCCAGGCACAGTGTCAGCCGCTACTCACCTCTTGGCCCGGGTAGCAAGGTAGCTGCTGGGGTTGTCGCCCTTGCCGAGCGTGTTTTTTGAGAATTCTCAAAAAACACGCTCTGGGGTTGTCGCTCTTGCCTCGCATCTCTTCCTCCATCTTCACAAGCGGAGAGCCCTTGATCCGATCCATCACTAGCAGCCGCTGGGTCACCAGCCCTGGGACAGACGCAGGCTGACTCCGTTTGGCTCCTTTGGCTCTCATCTCTTCCTCCATCTTCACAAGCGGAGAGCCCTTGATCCGATCCATCACTAGCAGCCGCTGGGTCACCAGCCCTGGGACAGACGCAGGCTGACTCCGTTTGGCTCCTTTGGCTCTCATCTCTTCCTCCATCTTCACAAGCGGAGAGCCCTTGATCCGATCCATCACTAGCAGCCGCTGGGTCACCAGCCCTGGGACAGACGCAGGCTGACTCCGTTTGGCTCCTTTGGCTCTCATCTCTTCCTCCATGCTGGCAAGCGGAGAGCCCTTGATCCGATCCATCACTAGCAGCCGCTGGGTAACCAGCCCTGGGACAGACGCAGGCACAGCAGCAGCAGCAACTCACCTTTTAGCCCTGGTAGCAAGGAAGCCATCTTGACGATCGGAGAGCCGTTGATCAGATCCATGACCAGCAGCCGCTGAGTTACCAGCCCCGGGACAGACGCAGGCACAGCAGCAGCAAAGCTAGCAGCCGTATCGACCCATCACACTCACCTCTTGGCTCTGGTAGCAAGGTAGCCGTTGGGGTTGAGTCCCTTGGCTCGCATCTCTTCCTCCATCTTCACAATTGGAGAGCCGTTGATTAAGTCCATCACTAGCAGCCGCTTGGTCACAAGCCCTGGGACAGATGCAGGCACCACCACCGGGGAGGCTGCACCAGAAACAGTTGGGGGAGAACTAGTAGCGGCAGCAGCAGCAGCAGCAGCTGCAGCAGAACCAATGGCACCCACAGTGGCAGCAGCAGCGGTAGAAGCAGGGGCAGTGGCGGCAAGGGCGGAAAGAGCAGCGAAAGCAGTAGCAGTGGCAGCCGGCCTTGAAAAAGGTTTCCAGCGACTCCCCCTTTTTTGCCTTCTGTTTGCTGCAGCTGCTGCTCCCGTGCCTGATGCTGCCGAACCTGCCAGCGAGGCTCGGATGGTATCCATGGCTGCGGCCTCCCTGCGAAAGTCAAACTCATACCGGATCTGCAGGTATGGGTGGTCAGGAGAGGGGCAGAAGCGAGAGAATGAGAATAACGTTAGGCAAAAAACACAACAAAATGATTCGGATCCGTCGTCCTCTGCAATATGGCATGCAGTCGCACACTCACACATACTTGACACACGCACACGCTTCTGCACACACGCGCGCGCGCGCACGCACACTCCCCTACACCTCGACACCATACCCCATGAAAATCCATACAGCAGCCATCAAACCAGCCACACCCACCTGCTTCTCCAGCTCATTTAGAGCGCCCATGACGTCCATATTCAGCTGCGTGCTCTGCAGGAATACACCCCACCCACCGATCACACACCTCTCAACACCCAACCCCACCCACCTGCTTCTCCAGCTCGTTCAGGGCGCCCATGATGTCCACGTTCAGCTCTGTGCTCTGCAGAAAGGCAGGCACCCCAATACTCCGCGGAACCACACCCTTATATACACAGCACCCACCCACCTACTCAACTGCACCCACCTGCTTCTCCAGCTCGTTGAGAGCGCCCATGATGTCCAGGTTCAGCTCTGTGCTCTGCAAGAACGCAGCAAACGCCTTGAGGTTGGCGAGGTCTGTGAGCATGAGGGGCTCGGCTCCTGCGTGTTGCACCTGAAGAGGGGAGGGGGAGGGGAAGAGGAGGGCAGGCAGGCCTTTATCTTGAGCTCGCAGCTCCGTGCTCTGCAGAAAGGCAGCAAACGCCTTGAGGTTGGCGAGGTCTGTGAGCATGAGAGGTTCCGCTCCTGCGCGCTGCACCTGAAAGTGTGTAGCGAGGGAGGGGTGGTTGGGGTGCATGCAGAGTGCAATATCCAGGTTGAATTCTGTGCTACCGTGCTCATCAGGAAGGATACAAGGCAGTGAAGGCCTCCTTAAAAAAAGACGAAGAAGAAAAAGATTGTGACAATGAAAAAATAAATCTACAATAAAAAACACAAAAAACGCTATTCAGAAAATAATGGTGACCCTCTTACCTCAATAGCCACCTCTTTGCCGCCTCTCAGCCTCCCTCTGTGCACTTGAGCAATCGACGCAGATCCCAACGGTTTCTCCTCCACCCACTCCCGCACGTCCCTGCACACCCCACCTGCCCTCGAGCCCTCCTTGCCCCATTTTGACCAGACTGCCCTGCACCTAGTGATACAGTGATACTCGTCCTCACATGCAGATCCTTACCTTGATAGCAACCTCCTTGCCTCCTCTCAGCCTCCCTCTGTGCACTTGAGCAATCGATGCAGACCCAAGTGGTGTCTCCTCCACCCACTCCCACACCTCCCTCCATCCCATCCCCCCCAGCTCCTCTTGAATCGTCTGGAGCACGAGGGGGAGCGGGTCGGCAGGAGCAGCGTCGTGGAGGGCAGAGAGGCGACACACCCACGCTGGTGGGGAGAGGTCTGGCTTGGCTAGAAACTGACCCGCCTGTGATTGTGGGAGGAAGGAGTGGGAGATGCGGGGATAGAAGGAAGGGGTGAGACGGAGGAGAGGCGTGGAGGGCAGAGAGGCGAGCCACCCATGCCGGTGGGGAGAGGTCCGGCTTGGCTAGAAACTGGCCTGCCTGTGTGATTGAGGGGGAAACGACGGGGAAGGGAAGGGGAAGGGGAATTAGTGTGCAGGAGACCCAAGTTGTTATTCCTTCACCCACCCACTCCCACACCTCCCTCCACCCCACCCCCCCCAGCTCTTGAATGGTCCGCAGCACGAGGGGGAGCGGGTCAGCAGGAGCAGCGCCGTGGAGGGCTGAGAGGCGACGCACCCACGCTGGTGGGGAGAGGTCCGGCTTCGCTAGGAACTGACCCGTCTGTGTTGTGTTTTAGGGAAAGGGGAAAGCGAATTGGGTGTTGGGAAAGAGAGGGTCGACCAGAGCAGTGTCGTGGAGGGCTGCGAGGCGACGCACCCATGCTGGTGGGGAGAGGTCTGGCTCGGCTAGATACTGACCCGCCTGTGTTGTGGGTGAGGAAAGAAAGAGTATGATTGGGGAGACACAGAAGAGGCGATGCGCCCACGCTGGTGGGGAGAGTCGATTTTTGAGTTTGACTAAAAAATCGACTTATCACACACGGCTTATATGTGGAAAGAAAGAGTATGATTGGGGAGAGACAGAAGAGGTGATGTGCCCACGCTGGTGGGGAGAGGCCCAGCTTGGTCAGTAACTGACCCGCCTGTGTTGTGCTTTGAGGGAGAGGGGAAAGTGATTTGGTGTGAAGGCGAGCGAGGGATCAGTGGGAGGGGAGCATATATAAAGCTTGAGGAGATGATTTACGTCAACTTGTGATTACTAAATTGTGTGAGAACGATGACGAAACAGGATGGCAAAACATCAAACAAGAAGTGCTCTCATTGAGAGTTGAACTCAAGACCTCCCGCTTACTAAACGGGAGCACTCAAAACATTAAGAGCTAAAAATACACATTTTTCACTATAATCACATCTCTATCTGGTTTTGTTTTTCTCCCGACACTACACTTTCGAAGCAATATCTAGGTTCACTCATACTGCTGGCTCAAGAACGCGCTATCATGGATGCATAAGGCCTTCATCTCTGCCACCCCTCGGAGTCCACTCCACTTCATTGGTCATTCCTTTGCTTATGCGCACACCTTCAATATAGTCACACCTTGAGAAAATATCCTTTCATGTCGGTGGAGAGGGCATAGAGGACCTCCGATCCCCTCAGTTCAGTCATTTGGTCACCTTGTTGGTCACTTCTATGGCTACAGTCATACACTCGCTATAGTCACACCTTCTCTATCGTCACACCTTGAGGAAGAATCCTTACACGTCTGTGCAGAGAGCATAGAGGATCTCTGCACTCCGCTCAGCTTACTCATATGGCCACCTTATTGGTCACTTCCATTTCTATAGTCATACCTTTGCTATTATCACACCTTTGCTATAATCACACCTTCACTATAGTCACACCTTGAGGAAGAATCCTTTCATGTCGGTGCAGAGAGCATAGAGCATCTCGGCTCCCCTCTCATGCTGCCTCTGCCACGTGGCAGATATCTCCTCCTCTGATTGGCCACTCACTGCCACCTGGAGCTGACAAAGCTGGGGAGGATAGGATGATAGGGGGAATAGTAAGAGCGAATATGGGGAGAGGGGACGGGGGAGGGGAGGACAGGGGGTCTGGGAGATGAATAGGAAGGAAAGGAAGGAGGGGAGGGGAAGGGGAGTAGAAAGAACGAGGAAATGAGGATGAACGGATGCATGCAACCCAAGAGAAATGAAACCTGTCGTTCAAATTCTTTGGAAGATGAAACGCACCTTGTAACTGCCGTACAGGTGCACTACACGTCGCCAGAACTCCGCCCCTCGTTGAAACGACAGCATGTTCGCCTCCACATCCCGATGTAACACGGTTACCCCCTGTTTCAGCGCGTTGCTCTGTGCCTCTATATCCCGCTGTAACGCCACCATCCCTCGTTTCAGTGCCTCGTTTCGCGCCTCCATATCCCGCTGCAACGAGATTACCCCTTGTTTCAGTCCCTCATTCCCCGCGTCCACGTCTTGTTGCAGCGACGCCAGCCCTCTTTTTAGCACAGTGCCCTGTGCGTCCACATTTTGCTGGCGTCGCTGCAACAAGACGTGGAAGCGACGCCAGCCCTGTGCTTCCCCATTTTGCTGCAGCGACACAAGCCCTCTTTTCAGGGCATCACTCTGATCTTCCACATCCCATAGCAGCGACACCACCCCTCGTTTCACTGCCTCGTTCCGTGTTTCAAAGTCTCGCTGTAACGCCACCGCCCCTCGTTTCAATGACTCCCTTTGTGACTCCACCCCTCTCTGCAGCAACATTAACCCTCGTTTCAGTGTCTCGCTTCGCTCCCCCACAGCCGAATTCACCCTTTCTGCTTCCGTACATATCCACGTTTGTAACTGCCTCACTTCCTCACCATAATCATCCTTTTTCCATCCCGCGTTTCTTCCCGATTCTTTCTGCACCCGTTCTTCTTTCCAGCAGGAGGCAATAGGATCGGCCCATGTCTCCAGCCACGTCCGTGGGGTTTCAGGAATCCATCCGACGGTCGTAAACGTTTTGGCGTTATAATAGTCGGCTCGACCATCCAAAGCCGTCGTAGACGCTTCTGCCTGTATCGAATTCGACCTTGGTTGTACCGAATCGAATTCAGTAGGGTCCGGATTTCCTCGCTGAGGGGTCTTTGGCGAAGGCTGCGACGCCAGAAGCGACGCCGGCGACTTTGGCGACGCTGGCGGCGCTGGTGACGCGGGCGAAGCTGGCGAATGCGGTGGTAACAGCGGCAGTTGCGAAGGGGGCAGGAGGAACGGCGAAATGGGGGAATTGGAGGGAGAAGGCGGGGAATGCATCAGCGACGCAGACGCCATCAGCACCCGGCGCGACAGCAGCGACAACGGATTCGGTTTCCGAAGAGCCTCGGTAAACGCGGAGCCCCTCTGCACGCGACGCGATAATAGACACAGCGGATTCGGCGGCCGTGTGCTAAAACGCGACTGCCGCTCGCCGTCAGTCCCGCTAGAGGATTCCATGCGGATAGGCCCAGAAAATCTAGACTTGGGTTGAAGCGCTCTATACGATAGCCGCCGGATTCGAGTAGCGATCAAGCGGCGAGCCAAAGAGGTGAGTTGCCTGACGACAAACGCACGCTTTTCACAGTGCGAGAGCCGAAGTGCTGAAGCGCGAAATTACCGTATACTGTTTTTGAGAGGCCTTATCAAGCAGGCACTCGCGAACTCCCACACTCCCACACTCCCGCACTCACGCACTCGAGAGTCGGGGGGCCGCGAGCGACAGCAAACAGAACTCTGGAATAGGAATCGACAGTCGGAAATGGACTAGGAAATCGCTCTCGACTTTTGAGGCGCCTCAAACCTCTTACGACTGCGACAGCACTCTAGAATGGAACTGGAAAGTCGCTCTCGAATATACCCGCATCAGGTGGAGTTCGCTTCACACCTAGCGCGGTTTTCAGGGACATCCATTCGTGACTCCGTGCGCCTCAAACCTCTTACGACTGCGACAGCACTCTACAATGGACTCGAAAGTCACTTTCGATTACACACTCAAGGTCAAATCCGATTCTGATCCACCACAGCCTTCTAAGGACAGAAACGGCTGTTTATCTCCCAAGGCTGACTCAGTCTTGGGCTCGAATCTGCTCTCGGAGAGGAGCATGTAGGATGATGACGGCGACTCGAAAATCCCTCTCGATTACACCACAGCCTCTAGGGCAGAAACAGGCTGACTCGGCCTTGGGCTCGAATCTGCTCTCGGAGAGGAGCATGTAGGATGATGACGTCGAGTCAACGCGATGCAGCACTCTAGAATGGACTCGAAAGTTACTTTCGATTACACCACAGCCTCTAGGGCAGAAACAGGCTGACTCGGCCTTGGGCTCGAATCTGCTCTCGGAGAGGAGCATGTAGGATGATGACGTCGAGTCAACGCGATGCAGCACTCTAGAATGGACTCGAAAGTCACTTTCGATTACACCACAGCCTCTAGGGCAGAAACAGGCTGACTCGGCCTTGGGCTCGAATCTGCTCTTGGAGAGGAGCATGCCGGATGATCATCATGATGGGGGCGAGTCAACGCGATGCAGGGTATCACACACGTGAGGTGCGCTGCGCACGCGATGTTTCATCATCGTCCGAGGGAACGACGCCGAGTCGGAGCATCGCCGAGGGGGTCATCGCACAAGGGAGTTGCGCAAGGGGTGTTTCTTCGTCGTCCAAGGGAACGTCGCCGAGTCAGCGTATTTTCGCCGAGAGAGCCATCGCACGAGCCGCGCACGGGATCCTGCTGAGGAACAGACACTGTTTTTTTTTTCGAGAATCTACGCAAAATAATACCCTGCACATGGGGCGTGCGCCGCCCATCCGTGAGACTGGCAATAGCATCAGTACATAGCGTCGTTTTCGAGTCTCGACGATAACGAACGCAAGACAGTGGCTGCGGCAGTTCGGATGGCGACATTTCCGAGGATAGCTGGCTAACGGACGGAATGAACGAGGTCGCGTGCTGCTTGCTGCCACTAACTGACGGGATTGGCAAGGCCGCGATGTTGAAATCCCTTTTGGGAATTCTCAAAAGTGAGGCTAACGGACGGAATGAACGAGGTCGCGTGCTGCTTGCTGCCACTAACTGACGGGATTGACGAGGCCGCGTACGGCTGCTGTTCCATCTGTCAATACCTGTCACTAAAAGTGCGATGCTCACAAGTACTACTCTGAACTCTCACAGGGCGCGCTGTACTTCCCGAGTCGATCGAAGTACGCGTGAAGTGCATGTGATTTGCTGCGGAAGAGACTCGCTCTTCTGGATGAGACGAGAAAAGAAGCCATGGTCAGGCCCAGGCACCCCGGAATTGACGAGGCTGCGAATTGATTCCCCACTGGCCCGTCACATCCTAGATGCTAGTCTCGACGCTCTGGGAAAGCACATACTGACGCAAGCCACAGTCACATGCTATTAGTGATTGGGGCTGGGAATTTGTGCTTTGACAAGAATTGCAGCGGCACTGCTGCTGTTGCTCGTGCGGCTGCTGGGGTTGGAAATGCAGTGACGTTGGAAGGGACGAGGATGCGAAGGGAAAGCTGTTTCGCCCTACGTGTCTCGGGAGGAGGAATCAAATGCGTTGCAGGTTTGACAGTGACTTTTGGGAGTGACGAGGGGGGGACCGTTCAAAGTGTCGTCCCAAGCGTGTGAGAGAGTCTTGGGGGGAAAAGGATGTTTGAAAATGTCCCCAAACGTGTTCGAAATGGGGCGCAATTTTGCAAATGCGAGGCGATTGGATGAAATTCGGAATTCATATTTTCCTTGCAACGTGACGAATCGGCTTCATGATGGCGACGCGGACAGAGAGGTTTGGTGGTGGTGGCGAGAATACGGGGTTGACGACGCGATCAACGACGTCTACAATTTCGATTGGGTGGTTGCGAAGAACGACGACGAGGGACGACAAGTAGATGTAACAGTGTGACTAAACCATACCCACAAAATCTATGCATTGTTCTGGCAAGGGGGCTTGAAATGGAGCGTGCATTTCAGCACAACATAAAACTCCACTCATAACAAAGAGCCCACAATAGAAGATGAACTCCAAGCATTGTTCAACACGGCCCTTCTGCTACTACAGGCCATGTTGAAGCATGCTTGGAGCTCCAGGTGTCTACAAACACACATTTCAAAATAATTCGCAATAACACAGCTAGAGGGTGGATACAGTACTCTCCAATTAGGTCCTCTCTCCACTACTAATTCGCAATAACACAGCTAGAGGGTGGATACAGTACTCTCCAATTAGGTCCTCTCTCCACTACTGCTGCTGTTGCTGCTTCAGCCTCAGTGTTTGGCCGCCATTGCTCCTCAAACGATCCATTCACCCCCATGCCCATGCAGCATATCCCCTTCACCAGCTGCAGCTGCATTATACGCACCACAAAGAGCAGATACGCAACTATTACCTCCCTCACTGCCGCTGCCTCTGCCTCTGCGCCTCCCGAATCGCCTGCCGTGCAATCGGCCGCCATTGCTCCGCAAGAGACTCATTCAACACCATGCCCATGCAAATCCCCCTCAGCAGCTGCATCGACCGCTACTAATCACCTTCCTTTACTGCTGCTGCCTCTGCCTCTGCCTCTACCTCTGTCTCTGCCTCTGCGCCTCGCGGATCGCCTGCCGTGCAATCGGCCGCCACTGCTCCGCAAGCGACTCGTTCAGCCCCATGCCCATGCAGATCCCCCTCAGCAGCTGCATCGACCTCATGACTTGCATCACAGAGAGCAGATACGCTACTAATCAGCTCCCTCACTGCCGCTGCCTCTGCCTCTGCGCCTCCCGAATCGCCTGCCGAGCAATCGGCCGCCACTGCTCCGCAAGCGACTCATTCAGCCCCATGCCCATGCAGATCCCCCTCAGCAGCTGCATCGACCTCACCACAAAAAACAAATCCTCCGGAAACTTTTTCACGCCGTTGTTCTGCGCCGCATGCTCCTCCGAAAATGGGTTCGATGTCGTGGCGCCTTTCGCCGACCGCGTGTCAAACATGAGTGTAGCCATCCACTTGAAGCTCTCCGGATTTTCCTCGGCCGTTTTGCTCAGCTCGAACCCCATCTCGTTGTACAGCCGTCCGATCTTCCTCGCGTCGCCGTCACCGACGGCAAGGATCAGCTCGGCGAGCTGCAGCCGGTGCTGCTGGGAGATTTGTTTCGTCTGCCCGTAGTCGAGGAGAGCGACCTTTCGGTCCGGGCAGATGAGAATGTTACCGGGGTGCGGGTCAGCCTGGAAAAAAACCGTCGCGGAGGATCATGAGCCCGTATGCCTCCCCGAGGGAACGGAATATTGACCTGCAGGAGATTTGAGCAAAATGGTGGGGAAGGAAGGGTGTGGGGGGCAGGGGTGGAGGGGACATATAGTAATGAGTCCAGGGAAGCAGTTCGATCACCAGCAGGAGGAGGTAACGGAGGCAGCCAATCACTCAGCACTCACACCAAACTCACCACCCACAGCACTCCCACTCACTCTTCCCATCTCCTTGGCTACTCTGAGCAGCGGAGAGCCGTCGATCAGATCCATCACCAGCAGCTGGCGGCTCACCAGCTACTCACAAGCTACTCGCCAGCTACTCACGAGCTACTCGCCAGCTACTCACGAGCTACTCGCCAGCTACTCACGAGCTACTCGCCACAGGAAATCAACCGGGTACTCACCGCTTGATTCTCGAGGCAAAGAATCCATCCATCTTGGCCCCCATCTGCTCTGCTACTCTGAGGAGGGGCGAGCCGTCGATTAGATCCATCACCAGCAGCTGTCAGCTCAAACCACCCACACGACCCTCAACCACCCACACCAGACTCACCGTTTCATTCTCGTAGCAAAGAATCCATCCGCCTTGCTTCCCATCTGCTCTGCTACTCTCAGCAGCGGCGAGCCGTCGATTAGATCCATCACCAGCAGCTGCCGGCTCACGAGGCCAGAAACAGGGCGAGGCACCACGACTGGCGAGGAGGAAGAGGAGGAGGTGGAAGAGGAGGAGGTGGATGGTGGAAGAGCTGATGTGACTGCTGCGTTCCGACTGCTGCTGTTTCGAACCTCTCCTCCTCTGCTTAGCACCACCTCTGCTCTTGACTGCTCCGTCTTCTGCTCCTCCTGCTGCTCCTCCTGCTGCTGCAGTTGGTTTCCTTCTCGCCATCTCTCCGCCCTTCCCACCGCCTCTCAGCGCCAGGTGAACCCGCTCCATTGCCTCTGCTTCTATTCGGAAGTCAAACTCCAGCCGCACCTGCAGGGGGGGAAGTGGGCACAAGAGCGCACATCTCTCTTAGCCATTCATTCCAGTCATACGGGTCACTGGTCACTAGAGTAGGAACCGAAAGTAGGAACCGGAAGTGGGCACAAGAGCGCACATCTCTCTTAGCCATTCATTCCAGTCATACGGGTCACTGGTCACTAGAGTAGGAACCGAAAGTAGGAACCGGAAGTGGGCACAAGAGCGCACATCTCTCTTAGCCATTCATTCCAGTCATACGGGTCACTGGTCACTAGAGTAGGAACCGAAAGTAGGAACCGGAAGTGGGCACAAGAGCGCACATCTCTCTTAGCCATTCATTCCAGTCATACGGGTCACTGGTCACTAGAGTAGGAACCGAAAGTAGGAACCGGAAGTGGGCACAAGAGCGCACATCTCTCTTAGCCGTTCATTCCAGTCATATCTCTCCGCACTGCCTCTCAGCGCCATGCGAACATTTCAATTATCATTCTCCCCACCACACCAACAATCGGTGCCAGGTGAACCCCTCTCCATGGCTGCTGCTTCCATCCAAAAGTCAAACTCCAGCCGCACTTGGAAGGGGAACGTGGGACAAAACAGGAAACGTTCTCAGTTCCCAACTTCTATCCGTTCTGTCCACTTCAGGAACGAAAGCACCAAGCGTGGAGCAAGAATGGTACCAGAGCACACGTGTATGCCTCACCTGCTTCTCCACCCTCACCTGTTTCTCCAGCTCCACCGGAGCCGACACGATATCCATGTGCCTCAGTTCTGAGTCGTGTTTTGAGTCGACTCAAAACACGGCCAACACAATATCCATGTGCCTCGGCTCTGTCTCCTGCAGAAGCGAAGGCACCAAGAGTGCAATGGTGCGTACCAGAGCAGCACACGTGTAAGCCACACCTGCAATCCCACCCTCACCTGCTTCTCCAGCTCCACCAGAGCTGACACGATATCCATGTGCCTCAGCTTTGTCTTCTGAAGGAACGCCCTGAACGCGCATACCACCCTCCTACCTGCATGCTAGCGAACCCGTGCTCTCTCCACCCTCCCCACCTGTGTCTCCAGCTCCACCAGAGCAGACACAATGTCCATGATCTTCAGCTCTGTCCTCTGCAGAAACGCTCTAACAGCCCCAAGCGAGCAGCGTTTAAGCCTCCCTCCCCTCACCTGTTTCTCCAGCTCCACCAGAGCCGACACAATGTCCATGTTCTTCAGCTCTGTCTTTTGAAGGAACGCCCCGAACGCCTTGAGGTTGGCGAGGTCTGTGAGCATGAGCGGCTGCGCCCCCCTGTGCTGCACCTTCACTGCTACCTTCCTCCCATCGTGTAGCCACGCCCTGTGCACCTGCGAGAGGAAAGGGAGCGAGAGAGAGAGAGAGAGGAACGAGAAATTGAAGAGTATGAAGAGCTGCGCTCCCCTGTGTTGCACCTTCAGAGCTACCTGCACTTACATCTAAAAGACAACATGGTAACATTGTAACACTGAATCGTACCTGAGCAACAGAGGCTGAACCCAGAGTCTCTTCATCAATCCTTGCAAACACATCAGTCCACTTCACTCCCATCCTCCCAGTTACCGCCTCCATCTCCCCCTCGATCGTCGCGCACACTACCGGGACACAGCACTCACTACCACTGTTTTGTAACACTGTTACACACCGGAGACATTGTAACAACATACCTGGGCAATAGAGGCCGAACCCAGAGGCTCCTCGTCAATCCTCGCAAACACATCGGTCCACTTCACTCCCTTCCTGCCAGTTACCGCCTCCATCTCCCCCTCGATCGTCGCACACACCACCGGGAACGGGTCAGCGGGAGCAGCATCGTGCAGCGAGGCCAGCTTCGCCACCCACGCGGGGGGAGACACTCACTACCAGACCGTCGTAACACCATAACGCTCACCGGAGGAGACATTGTAACAACATACCTGCGCAATAGAGGCCGAACCCAGAGGCTCCTCGTCAATCCTCGCAAACACATCCGTCCACTTCACTCCCTTCCTGCCAGTTACCGCCTCCATCTCCCCCTCGATCGTCGCACACACCACCGGGAACGGGTCAGCGGGAGCAGCATCGTGCAGCGAGGCCAGCTTCGCCACCCACGCGGGGGGAGACACTCACTACCAGACCGTCGTAACACCATAACGCTCACCGGAGGAGACATTGTAACAACATACCTGCGCAATAGAGGCCGAACCCAGAGGCTCCTGGTCAATCCTCGCAAACACATCCGTCCACTTCACTCCCTTCCTGCCAGTTACCGCCTCCATCTCCCCCTCGATCGTCGCACACACCACCGGGAACGGGTCAGCAGGAGCAGCATCGTGCAGCGAGGCCAGCTTCGCCACCCACGCGGGGGGAGACACGTCAGGCTTCGCTAAGAACTGCCCCGCTTTAAGGAAGAAGCCGCGCATTTCGGTGCAGAGGGAGTGTAGCAGGTCCGCTGCCCGCTCGTGCTGCCTCTCCCATGCTGCGTGCTTCTGTGTGTCTGTGAGTAAGGAGAGGTGACGGTTACCCGGGAGGGGGAGGGCGAGGGAGGTGTGGAGTTGGCAAACCTGTGGGGAAGAAAGGAGGGGGAGGAAAAAAGGAAGATGAGGGAGGGTGTGCGGAGGAATTTTGAGTCCAATTGAAATGCTCTTCAGCCGCTCGTGCTGCCTCTCCCATGCTTCGTGCTTCTGTGTGTCTGTGAGTAAGGAGAGGTGACGGTTACCCGGGAGGGGGAGGGCGAGGGACGTGTGTAACTGGCAGACCTGTGGGGGGAGGAGAAGGGGAGAGAGGGGTGTGGGGAAAAGGAGAGGGGTGTGGTTGGAAGGGGCTTTTGAGACGAATAGAAAGTTCGCTCGCTCGAGTTGTCTCTCCCATGCTGCGTGCTTCTGTGTGTCTGTGAGTCGTGACAGGCGGTGGTTGTTTGGGGGTGGGAGAGAGAGTGACGTGTGCAACTGGCAAACCTGTGGGGAAGGACAAGAGGGGATGAGGTTGTGGGGAAGAAAGGAGGGGAGAGGGTGTGAGGAGGAGATCAGGAGAGCTTGGAGTAGCAAGTGAGACATCGCTACTGTTTTTTTAAGCGCCTTAACAGGGAATTGTACTTCACAATAATTTGTACCTCGGGTACATTAGGTGATATTCCATCCAAACTGTTTATTGAATGCAACTCTGATGTGGGTTATGTATATGCGTGATATGTGGTGTATTTACCTTGTAGCTGCCGTATACATGAACGATTCGGCACCAAAACTCCCCGAATCGGCGCAAAGAAAGCATCCGCTCTTCCGCTTCCGCCTTCGCGTTCCCCACGCGCTCTTTCACGACCGCCATCCGCGCACCAACTCCAGCAACCGGACCAAGCAAGGGCGCGCCAGATCTCGCGCCGATCCCCGCAGTTTGTTCCAATTTCCCGCGCACCGTGGTCACTGCGTCATCGAGTCGGCGAGTAAGAGCTGTTAGCGCGCGGTTTGCGCCATCCCCGGCCGAAGTCTGCGCGCGACTGAGATGCGCATGGGCGGATGTTACTGCGCGGGTAAGTTGCGCCTCAAGCGCCAGCGAGCCCGCTCGCGGAGTGACCTGCGCCTGCCCGCCGGCTTCCGCAGTGGACTTGCGCAAGTTACGCACGCGCGACGCCTTCTCTTCCAGCCAGCCAATCACAGCGCGCTGAAGCTCCTCCGGGCCCGACGGTAACGGAAAGATATCGTCAGAATCCGGCTGGCTCGACAGCAGGCTCGGGCCGAACCTCGGCGCGAGGCTGAGGCCCGGAGGCGTCGCGTGGGAGGCGGAGACGGAAGCGAGAATCGCGGGGAACTTAAAGCTCCGAAGCGGGCGCTGCAGAGGTCGTGCAACTAGATCCGAAGTGCAACCGGCAGAACCGCCGTGAGATGCGGCGAGCCCAACAGCTGGCATACTTAGATCCCGCCGCGGTTCGGCTCCGCAAACGGCAAGAAAGGTTCCATTTCGACTAGGAACTCGAGTCGCAGGAGGCGGACCTATTGCGGGTGTGGAAACTCGCGTTTCGGGGGGAGCATTGGCGGAAACTCGCGTTTCGGGGGAAACATTGGCGGAAACTCGCGTTTTGGGGGAAGCATTAGCGGCGGGTGCAATGGGGCTGTTGCGCGGCTGTTGAGGGTGACGTGCGGAGCCCCTTCCCGCCCTTGGCGACCGGAAAGTACGGCGCGAAACGCGGGCGGCGGTCGGCGAGCCGCGGTTCTCAAGAGCCATGCTTGACGAGCGGCGGCACTTGCAGCGACACTTACGGCGTCACTACCAAGGAAGGTTCTTGAAGGACCGAGCCTTAGAAAGACCTGTTTCCGTCAATCTGACCGGGAGGCTTGACGAGTCGCGGCTGGGCGAAGGCTGCAAGACCAGCTGACCACTGCCAGTTCAGGCTACTACTAGTAGAGACGGATTTCTACGTCACGGTTCTCTCAGTGAAATGCGGGGCAAAAGACGGTGTGGTTGGTGACACCTCAACGCAAATATTATTTTATGATCGCGAGGGCTATGTGGTCAGCGCCGTCGGTTGGCTCCCAAATATATTTTCCAGCTGAGCGCTCAGAGCAACGCGCTTATCACGCCACGCAGATGCTACAGTAACTAACGACGCGTTTGCGCCCAGGTGTGCGTTAGAGATGTCGAGAGTCGACGAGACGCTGCTAGGAGTTTCCAAGAAATGATGCGTGGAGGAAGAAATCAGCAAGAACGACTGACGGTTTGCCTGTTGGACGTCCTTTTAGCTCAGACAAGACATGAAAACATGATGAAGCAAACGTCGTCAGTGCAAAATCAAAATGGGGTGCCTGCTCTGTGGTGGTGTGGCGTGGTGGTGGTGGTGAGGTGAGTGGTGACCCTGGTGACTGATGACTGGCGAGGTGAGGTGACTGTTCTCTGGTCTGGTCTGCCGCGTGTGGCGTGTGTTACACACTTGATGCAAGCACAGCTGAAGCGGCGACCACCAATGACTGAAGCAGACGCAGATTTTTCCTGCATTCTCCCCACCCGGCCCCTACTGTACAACAACCGCACTTGTTTGAAAGTCTCCGTCTAGCTTGCCGTGGCGGCTGGAATGGATTCTTGGGAAAACGAGTGATTTGGACGGCGCCGTCCAAAAAAGTCCGAGCTTCTGCGCAGCACTCTCGCTGTGGTGAGACGAACCGCCGTATCGGATTTTACTTAGCAAAGGGTCGGTGTGGGTTGCGATTTCGTGGGTCCTTGGAATTGACGGCCGCCTAGGAATCACCGAATCGAAACCAGGCCGAAGCTAGTCTCCACAGAATGAAAAGTTGCTTGACATTTATAAAATAACAAGCCTCGATGGCGCAGTCGGTAGCGCGTAGGTCTCATAGCATTCCGACTCCCACACAACTGGGCGGAGCCATCCTAAGGTCGTGAGTTCGATCCTCACTCGGGGCACAGCTTTTGTTCCCCTTCCAATGATTGGGATGCTTGGGGATCTTGCCATGTGCCGCTGTTATGGTAGCTTTTTCCTTGCATGACTCTCCAGCTGTGGCTTGTAACAGGCTGTTAATTTTCTGTGAGTTTTTGGCTTCCTGCAACTTGTAGGCTCTGATGGAAGCCAAAAAGGGGGGTTCCACTATACCCCCCTTTTTGGCTGATTCTCTATAAGACCCTGGGGGGGTGTTATAGTCGGGAAAAACGTTAACTTGGCTTACATTTCATACATGTGACATTACAGGAACTACAGAAATATGGCGCCAGCACCAACACATTAACAATGCCACCTAGTCTGCATCTACATAGCCACAACATCACCTCACACTATACATCCACAATTTCAACTTCAAAGAGCTCTGCTGAGTTTTGTACTACTCAGAATCGTCCCCTGCATGCCACTCTTCACAGTCTTCCCCGTCATAGCGGTCAGGGCGCCACCACTCGTCATCGCTCAGCTCTTCTGCCTCCCCGCCTTCTTCAAGCACGACCCCTTCCTCCTCTGCCGCCGCCGCCTCCGCGTCCTCCTCGACGGCGTCATCCTCCTGTGCCGTCGCCTGCAGCTCCTCTGCCGGCATGGGGAGATCGGCATACACTGAACGAAATAATTGTCCGCATGCCAAGATATATGGATGGAAAATGTGCATTAGTTGCTACCGTGTTTAAGCCTTAATCAAAGGGCGCCACAAGGTTAAAACCCATAGGGTTGTACGTGGAAACACAAGGCTACATGGCCATTAACTCGGCTCAGCAACCTGCAGGAAAGGAATTAGGCAAACAGTGTCATATGGACAGTTTCTTACAAATACAGTCACGCATGCAAACCAGGCTGAATCTAGTACTTGGTCCAGCGACCCTTGGCCTTGAGCACAGCGCGCACACGCCTGGGCATGATGTCGATCAATTCACTGCAACAGGCCGCGGGGATTTTCTCCCATTCCACTTGAATTCTGTCCCACAGCTCGAGAATGCCTGCAGGTGGGTGGGGATAAGCAACCAGCTGCTTCTTCAAGTAAACCCATAGGTGTTCTATGGGGTTATAGTCCGGAATAGATGCGGGCCATGGGAGAACAGAGTACGGCTGCTCTGCAATGTATTTTTTTACCAGCTTGCACGTATGCTTGGGGTCGTTGTCATGCTGGAACACGACTGCCTCGGGATTCAGCTCGTAATGCTCGATAGTCTGTTGAAGCCCGTCTTGCAGGATTGAACGGTACAACTCCCCGTTCATCCTTCCCTCTATCTTGCACATAAAACCCGCGCCGTTGTATGTCATGCACCCCCAAATCATGATGGAGCCGCCGCCATGCTTGACGGTCTGTTTCACATGGTGCGGCTCCATGGGGCAGTCCTGTCTAATCCAGGCCCAACTTCGTCCGTCGCTACTAAACCGGCAGACCTTTGTTTCATCGCTCCAAATGACGCGTTTCCAGTCGTCCATCGTCCAGTGCTGATGGTCCTTGGCCCACTGCCTGCGGTCGTTGATGTTTTTCTCGGATAGTCTAGGCTTAGACGGCTTTTCAGTCGCCTTAACTCTGTGCCGCGTGAGAGTGTTTCGAACAGTGACGCCAGTGACACTGATGCCATGTGTAGAAGCAATCATTCCCGCGGTTGCCTCGGCGGATTTCGATTCACATAAAACTATCGACCTTACGACTATCTGCGCGATTTGCTCGGGTAGCTTGCGCGGCCGACCAAGTTTCGCCGGTGACGGCACTAGCTCGTCGTACGTTTGCGGACCGACGTGGCGGAGGAGCTCGTCATGTCAGAGGTCCACTGGTGATCCCCGATTGATCCTAGGGAAGGGTTACAGGCACGTTGGCCTGGGGGGTTATGGGCGCACTTACCCGCTACACAAACAAGCCCTTTTATCCCAATGGTCTAGTGGTTGGGATTCTGACATGGTATCAGAGCGAAGGTCTCAGGTTCGAATCCCAGCGTGTGCACTTCGGGCATCCCAGTGCGGGGGGGTGTCAGAGGTCCACTGGTGATCCCCGATTGATCCTAGGGAAGGGTTACAGGCACGTTGGCCTGGGGGGTTATGGGCGCACTTACCCGCTACACAAACAAGCCCTTTTATCCCAATAGTCTAGTGGTTGGGATTTTGACACGTCATGGACGGCGGACTTCGAAACACCCATCTCCTTAACGATTTGGTGGTAACTACGCCCCTCTTGAATTAGCTGCATGATGCGCTTCTGCTTCTCCACACTAAGGCGCTTCATGCTGCGGGGGAGATAGCACTAAGGTAAGATCGTAGACTACGCCCGTAATCGCCTCTGTACCTAACGAAACTAGATCTAACTGCGCTCGAAATAATGCGCGAGACATTTTGGAAGGATTTGTCCGTATGGGGTGTCGAGAGAGAAAAGCTTACTTGTTAGAGCTCCATCGTTTGACAGGCTAGAGGGCGCCTACACAAACTGGTAACACATGACACGAGCCCTGTATGCAATTTGTACAATAGAATACATGTTTATTTTACGATTGGACGCCACTTACTCTACATATCGAATCCATAAGGACAATTATTTCGTTCAGTGTAGAAGGGGTTGACGACGAGATCGTCGTCAACCATGTCGTTGACATCGTCAAGGACCTCCACCTCACCCGCATGTGGGCAAGGATGAGGTGGTCCTCGCTGCCATCAATGGGGGTGGAGATCCCACACGTGACGAACACCTTCTTCACGAGCTCCTCTGGGATGGCTTCCCATGACTCATCGATCCACCGGAGCACCAACTCCGCTGGCGGCTTCTTGAAATTGCCTGGGGGACGGGGAAGGGAAGTCACAGACGAACGTGAGCATACAGAGCGCACTCTGACACGGATTCAACATAAAGCAAGCGGATCTTAGGGCTTCAACTCACCAGCCTTGGTGGTGAGGTTGATTCCCTCTTCTTCAAACCAGACACTATAGCGATGACGCACACCGCACTTGAACGGCTCGGTTCACCGACACATCCAGAGGCTGCACCAGCGGTGTGCAGCCCCCTGGGATGACAGCGCGGGACAGCCGAAACATCCGCATGGTCTGCTCGACCGCCTCGGTCAAATGGCCGCGGTAGGAATCGAGCACAACCAAGCCCTCCCTGCGGCGTCCAGGTGTGTCACGAAGGGGTTTCAGAAACGGCAACATAACCTGGGTGATCCAGTCCCGCACCAGGGCTTCGTCCATCCAGCCTTTCTCCTGTGCACGGACCACCACACCTGCCAAACAACACAAGAGCGTCAGGGTCGGTTGCGACAATTGACGGGCAAGAGCATGGACAACATAGTGAACGTGGGTTGCTTACCGTCAGGGATGACCACCTTTGGGACGGTCTTCCGCTTGAAAACCACGTACGGCGGAAGTTTGAGCCCCCTCGCTGTTACTGCCAGCATGACAGTAACACGCTCCTTCTCATAGCCCGCGCTCCGAACGTGAACCGTGCGCGCTCCCTTCATCTCGAGCGTGCGCTCCGCCGGCATCTCCAGGAAGAGCGGCGTCTGGTCCGCGTTCACGACGAGGTCGAGCGGGTAACCATGCAGAGAGTGCATCTGGCGCATGAACTCCCAAAACGACTCCACCTTGGCCTTGCAATCTGGGAGCAGAGCAACGAGAAACATTAGCTCAACATCGGCAGGGGTTAACCGCTCCATTAGCTTTGCATTAGGTAAACATTGGCACAAACTTCTCGTACCCGCCGCAAGCTTCTGTCCCATCTTTGTCTTCACACGCCTCGCCAAGTGCCAGCGCGCGCGGAAATGAGTCGCCCACCCGAACGAAGCGCGCCAGTTGACCCCGGGCATCCTGTGCTTCATGTACTTGGCGCTCCACTTCTGGAGCATGCTGACCGTGACGGCAAGGCCCTTCGTGCGGTGCTTCAGGAATTGGCGGTAGACTGCCCGTTCCATGAACAGATACTTGGACTTGTGCCCGTGACCCATGAGGCGACTGCGGCAGGAGGAAGCGACCTCCAGCCGCTCCCTCATCTTCTTCGATTCGCGGATCTGGCAGGGCTGCAAGTTCGCAAGTTTCGCCAGCGCGCGGTTAGAGAGGTCGGGCTGAGAGTCCTGCATCTTCAACCAGTGGAGTTTCTCCTTCGCGATGATGGCATTCCGCTGGCGTTTCGTCATGCGGTGGCGAGGACTTGGCGGGGCAGCATCGGCGTTGCGCTTGGTCTGTCCCTGCGGGCGGTTACGCTCAGGAAAGGTGGGGACAACCACTCGAGGAAGGGTGGGGCGAGGACGGTCAGAGCTAGTGCTCGGCTCATCCTGGGCAGATGCACTACCGGGAGCATCCGGCTGGGGCAAGACAGGTCGAGGAGACGTCCGTGCGCGTGCAGCAGCGGCAGTTTGAACGGTAAAAGGGCGATGTCGCCTATCAACGGTACTGCTAGAGTCTGGGGATGACGCCATGCTTGATCACTACAGGGGGATAGTGTCACTCGCCATGGCGGACGAGATTTTAAACTAGAAAAAACGAGCACCAAAAGGAGTCGCTCTCACAGCTAGCCGAGCTCTTGTAAAAAACGTGCACTGGAGGCGCTTGACTAAAGGAAAGCTGAGGGCCATGTGAGGAGGCCTAGACGTGACCAAACGGACCGTACCCTCTCATCATCGTGCGCGACTCGGGCCACGTACAGCACTACTGTGCATGAACCCAAGCTGCGCGAAGTTGGCATTGCTGTCATCGAAGCTGCCTCAGTTGGCCCTCTGGAATTTGCCATGTGGCAGATTCCAGTGGGGGGTGACGTTATTGTTGGGCTGAGAAAAGCCCTTAGGATCTTTGCAGGGCTGAACTCTGGGTAGGACTTGTTGTAATTAGCGGAAGCGTTTAATGGAGTAGTTGAATCACCTTGCGCTGGTATGTGAGGGCAAAGTAAAATTGATTAAAGCAAAGCGATACAAGATTATATAAGAGTACAAGGAATACGAAGAGATACGGTTGCAACTACTTTACTGTTGCTGTTGCGGTTCGATACAGTGACGACTCGGGCAACTGCTCTGTAACGAGTCAGTTGTGTGTCCTTGCTGTCGCGCTGTACTTGTCAGGTCAAAGGTCGCTGACCTTTGACTTTCGCGTAACCTCTAGCAACCGCTCAACCTCCGAGGGTTGACTCGCCGGTGCTTCGATATACTTCGCTTCGCTTCTGACTTGGTGTTTCGACACGACAGAGGCGCCTAGAGTTAATTGTTTCCAACAGTTATCCTAGAGGACTCGGTTTTGCGCCCCCGTTCAACAAACTAATAGTGAGGACGGAATACTGATTTTGTTTCCTTTCTTTTCTGCTTAAAAAAAAAGTGCTGTATAATAAGACCCGGGTATTATGTGGCTTTTTCCTATGAGAAGACACCCCCTTTTTTTCCCTGTATTTTTTAATCTACCCTAGGGTGTTATGTCCGGGAGAATACGGTACTTCTCTCATAGCAAGGACCGAACCAATACTATAGTGTGATACGATTGGGTAATATTCCTACAAGCATAGTGCAATTACCCTGCTAATGTTGTGCTATAACGAACGCCGCAGTAACTTCATAGAACCTTACATGTGAGCAACTTGTCGGAGGAAACAATTGCAAATTGCCATGGCAAAATGTAACCAGCCAGGGATTGGCCAATGCTGGTAGCAAAACCGCCTTATGTTGATGTGCACAACAAAACACAATACGGTAATTGCAGTCACGATACGGATGCACAATTCACGTGACTCACAAAAAACAACCTGCACAGCATACATTCACACGGTCAGGTTTTGCAGTGGCAGGTCATATCACATCACATCATGATTCACTTCACAACGAATCCCCTTCCATGCCCCTCAAGCAACTCAATCCTCGTGCCTTGTTGAAACACGAGAAGCATTGAATACGATATTTGTCAGTGCAGCAGCAACAGGGACAAAAAAGAGGCGTATACTCCCGATCTTTCTTCACCTATTCCTTACGCCTTCCCTTGCCCACCTGTCAAGCAGCAGCGCTGTTGGCGACGATTTCAGCCAGCGTTGCAGCTGCAAAGACCAGAAAGAGAGTGCCTCCCACGTAGGCTACAGTCTGTTGGAACATAATCACGGTCCAAACGGGGAGACGGCACAAAAGAAAGAGCCAGGTGATTACTGGGAATAAGACTTCAGCTGGTTTGGCTGCAAAGACAAGGAAGAGAGTGCCTCCCACTTAGGCAACTGTCTGTTGGGAAGCATGATTCCAGCTGGTTTGGTTGCCCAGGGACAACAAGAGAGTGTTTTAATGGCATTTCGTGTACCTCCCATTGCATGTTAAAGTCCCAAAGCCGTTCGCATACCTGCTCAAATGTATTTGGAGAGAAACGACCCGCCAGCACTGCCAGAGAGAATACTTATCTCTCACCAACTACCACGACGGCCACACTTACCTGTTCGGAGATGTATTTGGGAAGGAATGACCCGCCCAGCACTGCCAGAGAACATTTCATCACCCACCCGCTGCCACGACGAGCACACTCACCTTCTCAGAGATGTATTTGGAAAGGAATGACCCGCCCAGCACTGCCAGAGAACATTTTATCACCCACCCGCTGCCATGACGAGCACACTCACCTTCTCAGAGATGTATTTGGAAAGGAATGACCCGCCCAGCACTGCCATCTGCAGAGGGAGCATGGGGGGGAGCGGCAAGTGGTGGGGGGGTGTGATGTCCAAGTTACGGAGTTAGGTTACAGAGTTAGCGTCGTGTAGGGGGAATTATTGGAAGGAAAATGATAGGAATGGAGGGGAATGGAAAGTGAGAGAGGACCAAAGGTGTAATGATTGGGAAAAATGTATTGATCGGCATGGGAATGCATGGTCACATCCTGAGCTGCCAGTGCTCCTGAGATCATCCTCTGTGTGTGTGTGTGTGTGTGTGTGTGTGTGTGTGTGTGTGTGTGTGCATGTAGTGCGTATTATGGCATGGAAAACAGCTGATAACTCACCACTGTCGCCACCCCATGAGCCGCCACGGCTCCTGTGACCACTCCCGCTGGGGATGATGCTGCCGCCAGGGCTGATGGGGGTGGGAGGCAGGGAGAGGCAGGGAGAGGCAGGGAGAGGCAGGGAGAGGCAGGGAGAGGCAGGGAGAGACAGGGAGAGGCAGGGAGAGGCAGGGAGAGACAGGGAGAGAAAGGAGAGGCAGGGGAGAGTTGGATGAGGAGAGGCAGGGAGGTAGGAATGGGGTGGGTGGGATGCATGGTGGTCTGGCTCCTGTGATCACTCCCACTGGGGATGATGCTGCCGCCAGGGCTGATGGGGGGAGGGAGGCAAGGAGGGGCAAGCGAAGGGGTAGAGAAGGGAATGAGGAGAGGTTCGAGGTGGTAGAGTGCGGCAGGGGATAAGGGGCAGTAGAGTTGGGCAGGGCGGGATTCAGGGTGAAGAATGGGAAGGGGTAGGGACGGATATGGAGAGGCAGGGATGGTGCAGTGTGGCATGGGACGACGGGTGGTAGGGGAAGGGCAGGGCAGGAGGATGGGTGGGGCATGGGAAGAGGTAGGGGAAGGTTAGGAGGAGTGTCAGGGAGGGGAAGTTGGCGAGGCATGGAAGGAAGGAGATTGCTGGTATGGGGAGGAGAGCATGAGTTGACACGCGTAGTGGTGTAGTTTACAGAAGCAGTCTGAACGGGAAAGTAGGCTCACCGATGGTGGAGTAGAAGGACTTGTCGCCCCACTCGGCTGTGAACACCAGAGCATACACCGACGCCAGCACTGCCAGGGAGATGCAAGCTGACCTCCTCCCCACCCCCCCTCATCCCCCACTTCCCCCCCTCCCCCCTCCCCCCCCCATTTCCCTGTGTGAACGGGCAAGTCAGCTCACCGATGGTGGAGAAGAAGGATTTGTCACCCCACTCGGCTGTGAACACGAGAGCAAACACCGACGCCAGCACTGCCAGGGAGATGAGAGCTGTCCTCCTCCCCTCTCCTCCCCTCTCCTCCCCTCTCCTCCCCTCTCCTCCCCTCTCCTCCCCTCTCCTCCCTCATCATTCCCCTCTCCCTTACCTTCCCCCATTTCCCTGTGTGCATCAAATCACCCTGTCTCAGCTCACCGATGGTGGAGTAGAAGGATTTGTCACCCCACTCGGCTGTGAACACGAGAGCAAACACCGACGCCAGCACTGCCAGGGAGATGAGAGCTGTCCTCCTCCCCTCTCCTCCCTCATCATTCCCCTCTCCCTTTTCCTTCCCCCATTTCCCTGTGTGCATCAAATCACCCTGTCTCAGCTCACCAATGGTGGAGAAGAAGGATTTGTCGCCCCACTCGGCTGTGAACACGAGAGCAAACACCGACGCCAGCACTGCCAGGGAGATGAGAGCTGTCCTCCTCCCCTCTCCTCCCTCATCATTCCCCTCTCCCTTTTCCTTCCCCCATTTCCCTGTGTGCATCAAATCACCCTGTCTCAGCTCACCAATGGTGGAGAAGAAGGATTTGTCGCCCCACTCGGCTGTGAACACGAGAGCAAACACCGACGCCAGCACTGCCAGGGAGATGCCGCCCTCTGTGCCCTCTGCTGCGTTCAGCCCTGCTACTGCCTTCTCTGCCTGGTGCATGGGGGAATGTGAGCAGTGGAGAGGAGTGGAGTGCGGTTTAGAAGCGTGCCGAGCACACTGCCAGGGAGATGCCGCCCTCTGTCCCGTCTGCTGCGTTCAGCCCTAATACTGCCTTCTGCGCATGGTGGGATGGGCGGGGGAGATGGTGCAACACAAAAAAAGGGTTGACGTAGAGCAAAACTCCCTTGTTGAGGACATGGGGGTCAATGGGGAAGAATGGGGGGAAATGGGGGGGGAACGGGGGGAAATGGGGGGAATGTTGAGAGACCGCTAAGATCCAGCACACCGCTAAGGGAGGAGCCCTGGCCTCTGCACCCCTTTTGTGGCTTACACGCCTGTTTACTTCCTTATCCACTTATGACCACTCCTCCTCTTAACATCATGCCTTCTTGCTTTATCAGCACTCCCTCGTCTTATCATCATGCCTCCTCGTCTTGCTTTACCTCCCCCTATTATGGCGAGGCCTTCCTGTCTTACCACCTGCCCTTTCCATATTATCACCATTCTTTCAAGTCATGTCAACATGCCTTGTCGCCTTGTCACCACGCATTCTCATCTTCTCACCACTCCCACCTGCCTTCTCACCAATCCTTTCGCCTCATTACCATTTCTCACCCATCGGCACCGTTTCTCACCTCCTGCTGCTCCTCCTCCGCCTTGGAGTCCATGCCTGCTGCGTCCCTCAGTGTGGAGAGGCCGAAGAAGACCTGTGCAAGGGACGGGGAGGGATGGGGAGGAAGGGGGGAGGGGGGAGGGGGGGAGAGGGACGAAGGGTGGAAGAAAAGAGTAGAGAGATTGACTATTAGACCACTCGCAGCCTTGGAGTCCATGCCTGCTGCGTCCCTCAGTGTGGAGAGGCCGAAGAAGACCTGTGGAAAGGGATGGGGAGGATGGGGAGGGAGGGGGGGGGGTCTTAAATGTAGCTGCATCGATTGGCGTTGTAGTTTAGAAGATTGCACAAAAATAACATCAGTAGCTGGGAAGGAGGGAGGTTGAGGGTGAGCGAGGGAGAGGGGGGGGAGGAGGGGAGAAGGAGGGAGGGGTGAAGGGATCAAGTCCTTCTCCTTTCAAAGAAGCCTCAGAGAGGCTTACCGGGTAATCCATGGAGGTGCCATCTATCCAAAGCGATCCAGGAAAATGCAAAACAGAAATAGCAGAAAATTATTGAAAAGCACTGCAAGCAGTGGCTTACCAGCAGAACCACAGAGGCGACATCATCCAGAGGGAAGTTAAACGAGCCGAAGCTGCATTCGGGAACATGGGAACATACACAGAGTGCCGTTGCGAATACAAAAAGTGGCATGGTTACACAGGATGTGTGGCAGAATGATGGATGGGTGGAGAGAGCATTGTGGCGATATTGTGGCATTCTAGGTGACACATGGAATGGAAGCGGCAGTGGATAGCTGGTCACGATAGGTACAATGCTGTCAAGCTATCATGTGTTCTTGGGGATGCCATAATATCGTGGTAGCATGAATGAACAACGGAGAAACGGCATGCAGGATAACCTTACGCAGGAAGGAGCTCGTCTGCATAGTGGAAGATTCGACCCAGAGCCACCGACAGGACCGTCATGACTCTGAGAGGGAGCAACAGGGGGGGTAGCGGAAGGGAGGGACGAGGGCAGGCAAAAGGGAGAGACGTGAGGGGAAAGGAGAAGGAGCTCGCCTGCGAAGTGGAAGATTCGGCCCAGAGCCGCCGACAGGACCGTCATGACGCTGAGAGGGACGAAGGGTGGGGATAAGAGCAGCAAGGAGGAAGGGCGAGGGAGGGAGACGTGAGGGACAAGCAGAAGGAGCTCGTCTGCATAGTGGAAGATTCGACCCAGAGCCACTGACAGGACCGTCATGACGCTGAGAGCGATAGAGGGGATAGCAGGAGGGACGGATAAGAGCAGGAAGGAGAAAGGGAGAGAACGGGAGGCGTGAAGAGCAAGGACAGGGAGCTCCTCTGGAGCAGTGTAAAAGGATCAACCCAGGAAAGTCGAACCAGAGGATTTGAACCAGAGGGAATCTGGACCAGATTGTTTGACTCAAGGGAATCGAACAAGGAAATTTGACCAACAACTTTCACCCAGACTTGTGAAAAGCGTCTTCCCTGTGCTTATATGCATCTCGCCTTCTTAGGTGGAGATTAGCCACACTCAACCGCCACACTTCTTAGGTGCACGTAGGGTGCATTCTGAGTGAACAAATGTTCACTGACACACACATCGCAAAGACAAACGTACAGCTATGGTACACAGTACACTGCACTCACGCGAGGGCGCCAAAGGTGCCTGCGAAGACCTCCAGATTGGGTCGCCTCGTGGCCAGCACTGCCTGATGGGGAAAGCAATGGGGCGAAATGGAGAGTTGGAAGCGCACATGCTTGCGAGTTCATTTAGTTTGCCCATCCTGTTGGTGAAGCGAGGTCTCGAAATGGTGGTTATTCGTACGGGCGGTTGACAGACTAGTTGAGAGCCGGGCTGAAACTCTAGTCGCCATCTTACCGCGATGAAGAACGTCTTGTCGCCGATTTCAGAGAAGAGGACCAGGAGGAAGGCCTGATAACACCATGACGGACAGGGTAACCCAGACGGACAGAACCTCCAGAACAATTAGAAAGACGGCCCGCAAATGGAGGCAGAATGAGTGGAAGAAGCCATCAGAAACAAAATGCGAAAGGAATTGTACACATCCATTTTTTTTCTCCCTCTCTTGTTACTCCATCAGAAAACTGTTCATGAATTGTATTGAAATCTGGCTGCACTTACCGAAGCAAATCCAGCCTGGAAGTCAGCGAGATCCAAAATGCCGCTGACGCCAGCTGGCACCGCAGCGGAAGCGGCGATGACGTCAGCTGTCGCTGCTGCTGCAGCCGTTTCTGGCGCGGCAAGGCCTAGCAAGGAGAGAGACAATGCACCTACTGCTGCTGCAAGGGAGGCAGACGCGACCAGGGAAGGCGACTGAGCTGAAGTTGATGGGAAAAGACGAGATGGAAGTGACGGCCATTGGAGGAATCTCTGCTGGAAACGGTTTCTAATTGATGGTGCTGGTTTCGCTTGCTCACTCAGCCGAACATCTTCAATGGACGAGCCATATTCTGTTCTCCCTCCGTTTATTCGGCAGAAGCTTTGCACGGTAACACTTCTGCTTCGTGAATAAGGTCCGCCAGAGGGTATAATCGTCTGGGCTCGTGCAATGCTGCTTTCCAAAGACTTGAAGGAGCAACACGGCTTTTGTTGGAGGTTGCCAGCTGGCGCTCTGGCATTGGAGGTTGAGCACGCAGACACTGAGCAACGAGAGATTGTGCTTAGAGATTTCACTGGCAGCAGGGTCGAGCCACTGACAGCAGCTAACGTGGCCATTGGGAAAATATGAGCTTTCGAATCAACGCGCGAAAGAAAGCGAGACGGCCTGATCTCGCAACTGGCCTACAACGTGGTCTCTTCACCCGCGCTTACGGCTCAATATTGAAGTATAACGAGCCTAGAAGGAAACACACGTCCACTCTCCTGTGGTGCACACGTTTTGCTCGGCTCGTGGAGCAAAACAGTCCCAACCGTGAAAGAGCGTCAAGAAGGTGGCAGTGGTCGGAAAGGTATGCTCCTCCAACCAAAGGCGAAGGGAGGAGATTCAAGCTGAAAGAGGAAGAGCGAATCGAGGATTCTCGTATTCATGTGCTCTTTCTCATTCCTGTGACCTGCGTTGTTGTCAGTTCCGTAGTCTGGTTCAATTCAGGTCAGGAAGGACTTCAAATCGGAGAACAGGATGACAGGCATGACGTGTCAACGGGTGACTCATGCTCGCATCGATGGCTCCTGATGTCCTGGCCTGTGGGAAAAGTTCAAGGTCAGCGAATCGGACGGCTGTGTTGGCGATGGGACGATTGGTGCTCGGGGAAGTTGACCAATTGTGGACCTTGGTTGGGCGCTGGTTGGATGGTGGTCCCAATCTGCTTGTGCTTTTCCTCCTGCAGGAATCTTCGTTTGAAGTTGGTCATGCGACAGCGAGACGTTCGTCGTAACCAACCGTGATAGGTCACGTTGGGCCTGGTTACGTACCATGTTCTTTTCGCACAATCAAGATACAACACAAGAAGCTCCGTTAGAACGTGGATCCAGTGAGAAAAGGTATTTCCATTCGAGGGAATACGTGGTAATCAGTGAGCCAGCTTTAGGAATGTTGCTCGAACAGCACGTGTGACAGGAATCGCAATCCGAGAGCACTAGAATTGTTCTTTTCCTCAGCTGGCTTCTCTCACTTCATGGTGGCAGGATTAAGTTTCATCATGGACACTGAACCCTGTTATGATAGGAGTTACTTGCGAGGAGTTGCCTAGCATTGTCGTCAGCCTTCTGGTAGCTCGCCGCGCTGCCTGTCATTTCGTTTCGTGCAATTTACGGTAGTCGGGTGCGCAAGCGACTTTCTTGACCATGAGTACCCCGATGTAATATCTGAACGGTGGACAAATAACGCCGGAATTTCTTGATTTTCAAGTAAACACCCCAGGAGGAATAATGACCCTATTTAATCTCTGCGCTATGAATCGAAGATATCTATCCCTTCCCCCAATGTCACCACCAATCACCTGGCCGGGAGTGCCAACATGCAAGGACCTACCAGAATTCACAGTCACCGTATTGCTTCCCGGTTGCGGCGGGAGAAAAAATATGTAAAGCCCAAGAACCGTACGGAACGAGCGGAGCCTAGAATTTCTAGTTGGCTCGCTGAAAAAGGCAAACGTCCACTTCTCCAGAAGCATGTGGAACTGGATCAGCTTCACTAGCTTCGCGCCCGTTAGTTGGCTGCGGATGTTAGTCGGGAGAGCATTGAACGCGGCGTCTGGAGGTAACAGGAAGGTGATAGGCTGTCGGTCCGCATACCTTGCAATCATCGGGTCAAGTCCTGAAGAAGTACGAATCACGAACGCCAGCATAAGCAAGGTGATGCAATCAGGTTTCAGCCAAACTACTTGATGATGCACACATGATGATGCGGGGCGAAGCTAGCAGTGACTCATTTGAATCTTGTTTACCTGTTCGTTTGAAGTGGATCATAAAGATCGTAAACTTCCTAGCACCCAGAATGACTTGGGAAATGCCATTCAGCTCTCTCCTTCCTGGACCCAAGGCCGGTTTGGGAGCTGGTTTGCCACCTTCGCCTCGTTGAGTGCAATTTAGAAGCATGAGGAGGACAATTATCCATCGTTTGGCGATGCAGCGGGGAAAGAATGGCCTTAGCAAGGTTGGAATTATTCCACTCATGCTGTTCAGAGTTCCACGGTGTTACTATGGCCCTTCAGCTATCTATTACTAGTATTTCTGGTGCAGCGTGCCTGGCACTACTTGTTAGCAAGACCTGTGCGGTTCAAGAAACGACGACGCTAGTATGTACTACATGCACACTCGGAGCTCTAGTTCCCTAACTCAAAGCTGTAAAACGTTTTTCATCAAAAGCCTTAAGTATGCGGAGCTCCGTGGTTGTGGATAGAGAAGAGAGCCCCGTACTGCCAGTAGAAGTGTAACGGCCTCCCCTTTCAACCGCCCACGTTCAGGACGCCCCAGCATACTACCTCCCTTTCCCCTGCTGGTCAGCCCGAGTTTCAATCACAAACAGCGACCCTTCGCACCTCCATTGTGCAGTGCGGGAACAGCACCGCCTCCGTCATCCTTTAGTGCCGCTGATACACATCCAATCCTTCCAACTCGGGAACCCCAGGACAGGCACATAATATGTTTTCATGCTACCGACTGCGTGCCCAGTCGCACATCCCATGGTTGGCGGAAGCTGTGGCGAAGTGGGTGGACAACTCTAACGGCGAAAAGAGAATGCGTTTCTTGCCTCACCGATGTAGCAGCAATGATAAGAATAGTACAGTACGTCATACCACATGCCGCCTGCGTCGCTATGGCAATAGTTACGACTACAGCAGTTGACTCGACTGTCTGCAAAAGTTCACCGCAAGGCAAGTTGCGAGAACTGTAGCTCAGGCGGCTTCAGTCCAGCGCATCAGGCTTGCTTTGCACAGTACGCACTGTCTCCTAATTCTTCATCAAATCGAATCCCTGCGTCGAGATTTTGGCGCGCGGCTGGAAGTTGCAGTAACTCCCAAGCCGCGGGGCGTCCCTATGGCTACAAAGTGATGGGAACTGGCTCCTATGTTGTGGTGGTGGTGGTGGCGGTAAGATGAATGGAAAGAACCTCTGGTAAAACCGCCTCGGAAGAAAATAACGACCTGCTTCTGCGACTTTTGTGCACGATACAGTACGTAGCCAGTTTTGACCCAACAGAAAGTGATAGGAGGGAGGCGGCTATTGATGGATAGGATGGAAGAGGACCAACATTCTTTTACAGTAGCGATTACTGTATGAGGATCGTACAATCTGGAGTGATTGTATAGGCATTTGAGTGATACGTTAGCGCGTACACAATCAACAAGTTACCGATCACGACAGAATACCGCCACGTGGATAAAGTGCGTGGCTCTCGATGGCACAAATAAGAAGCGGGAGATGATGCGATTGGTGGAGTAGGAGTTGGCAGAACAGATACTTGAATCCGCAATGCTCCACACCACAATAGATTCCTGGCTCCTATTCCTAGTCTTTCAGTAAACTTAGTAGCCTGCCATAGTACCGCCATTGCCTCTTGGAAACTTAGTAGCTCCTGTGCTCTGACAAGTTCTAGTGTCCAGTCTTTGGCGTGAGTCGCAGCGGTGTTCCGATAAATAGCACCAGTGATTAAAAGCAAGTCGAGCTGGCTGTACTTGGCAAATAGAAATGTTGGCTGTGTTGAATGCGTGAATGGCGACGACTTTCTGGATGCGAATCTGTGGAATCGGGCACTTGATTGGTGGCGCCTAAGTCGGCTGATTGTCCGCAGTCGAGCCTAGTGGATTGGTCGCATTCCATCCCCTATATAGTGCTGACTCCGCGATGGCGATTGTCACAGCATTCTCCCATCATACTGTGAAACCGAGAACTACATCCTCGCTACAATCCTCCTCTGTTCTCGCTAATTCCTCCTCGGGTCCAGCATTCCTCCCTTCACGCTTCAAGTCTTTTTTAACTCCTTCAAGACCAGGAGTTCGTACTAATAAAAATGATCCACTACGATTTCAAGAAGGTAGAGGATCAACAGGATCGCGCCGCGTGAGTGCTCGAGCCAATCGAGGGGGTTCGAAAGGAAACCCGGAGGACGATGAAACTGAAGGAAGCTTCTGGGAAGGCGAGGAGGGTCAACAGAAAATGGACGAAATCGAGGAACTTAAAGCCATCCTTAGAGAGCGCAAGGCACTGGAAAAAGAGCTAGACGAGGCCGAAGAGGAAGCACGACGAGCCGCAGCCGCTGCTGCTGCTGCAGGAGGAGGGGGAGAAGCGGGCGGTGCGGGAGGATCGGCGGAGATTGGGGAAGACGGGTTGACGGCGGAGCAGCGCGCGGAGCGGAAGGCGGAGAAGCTGCGGGAGCTGCTGGCGAAGCGGGCGCAGGAGCAGGCGGAGAAGCGGCGCGAGGCGGCGGAGCTGTTCGCGTTCGGGCAGCAGGCGTACGGGCGCGGAGTGTACGACAAGAGCGTCGCGATCCTCGAGCAGGCTCTGGGGAACGTGGAGTTCACGTCGAAACTAGCCGGAGAGGTCCGTTGAGCTCTTAATTTAGTGCACTTTGCCTTGAGCGGACATTCCCTTGACACATCTCACAACTGCACAAAAGCGTAGCGAGCAGGCGCTGGGGGACGTGGAGTTCACGTCGAAATCTTGCTGGCAAGGTAGATTCTGAGCAAAGGGAGCACCTGATTCGACCTTCCCCAGCCCTGGTTCGATCTGGCCAGGTTCAACTTTTCCAGGCTTGATCAGACACGAGCGTGGCGATCCTCGAGCAGGCTCCAAGGAGCGTGGCGTCCACGTTGAAGCTCGCTGGCGAGGTCACTTGAGTGGAGCTTCTGCTTCCGTTTGGCTCAGGGATTGCCTCTAGACTAGAGCACATTGCCTTCTGAGGCATCACACCACGAAGCACAACCATCCGCAACCCTTCCCTTCTCAGTCACCCTTACCCCATGCAGATTCAACTCTGGCTCGTGATGGCGTATGATGCCAATGGGCAGCACCCAGAGCGTCTTGCGCTCTATCGCAAGCTGGAGAGCAACCACTCCATGCAACCACTCCATGCAACCACTCCATGCAACCACTCCATGCAACCACTCCATGCAACCACTCCATGCAACCACTCCATGCAACCACTCCATGCAACCACTCCATGCAACCACTCCATGCAACCACTCCATGCAAGCCCTCCATGCAACCACTCCATGCAACCACTCCATGCAACCACTCCATGCAACCACTCCATGCAACCACTCCATGCAACCACTCCATGCAACCACTCCATGCAAGCCCTCCATGCAACCACTCCATGCAACCACTCCATGCAAGCCCTCCATGCAACCACTCCATGCAACCACTCCATGCAACCACTCCATGCAACCACTCCATGCAACCACTCCATGCAACCACTCCATGCAACCACTCCATGCAACCACTCCATGCAACCACTCCATGCAACCACTCCATGCAACCACTCCATGCAACCACTCCATGCAACCACTCCATGCAACCACTCCATGCAACCACTCCATGCAACCACTCCATGCAACCACTCCATGCAACCACTCCATGCAACCACTCCATGCAACCACTCCATGCAACCACTCCATGCAACCACTCCATGCAACCACTCCATGCAACCACTCCATGCAAGCCCTCCCCCGTCCCCTTGACCCCGTCCCACCTCCCTCCCATGCAGATCCAGCTGTGGCTGGCAATGGCCTACGACGCTAATGGCCAGCGTCCCGAATGTCTTGCGCTGCATCGCAAGCTGGAGAGCAACCACCCCATGCCCGCCTCCTTCTCCCCCGCTCCGCCCTGCTCCCCTTATCCAGATCCAGCTGTGGCTGGCAATGGCCTATGACGCCAACGGGCAGCGCCCTGAATGTCTAGATCTGTACCGCAAATTGGAGAGCAACCACCCCATGCCCGCCATCCCCCGCCCCCCTGCCCCGTCCCCCCTTCCCAAATGCAGATCCAACTCTGGCTGGCCATGGCATATGATGCCAACGGGCAGCGCCCTGAATGTCTAGCTTTGTACCGCAAGCTGGAGAGCAACCACCCCATGCCCGCCATTCGCAACCAGGCCGCTAACATGCGGTATATCGCGGAGGCGCCCAAGCTCAAGCTGTCCCCCGATGAGATCCTCAAAGTGCCCATTCTAGACAAGGATAACAACAGGTGGGTAGAGGGCGGCAAGAGGAATCGTGGGGTGGGTGGGTGGAGGGTGAGCAGGCTGCTAGCAGGCTGCAGGCATGCGGTGCGTTGCAGAGGCGCCCAAGCTGAAGCTGTCACCTGATGAGATTCTCAAAGTGCCGATTCTTGATAAGGACAACAACAGGTGAGGCAGGGAGGAATAAGCAGACAGGGGGATGGGAGGACCTGCGGGAGAAGTGGGGGTTGAGTAGGTTGCCAGAAGGCTGCTAACATGCGGTGCATTGCAGAGGCGCCGAAGCTGAAGCTGTCACCTGATGTGATCCTGAAAGTGCCGATTCTTGACAAGGACAACAACAGGTGAGGCAGAGAGGAGTAACCAGGCTGAGGAAGTGAGGAAGCAGGGGCGGAGTGGGGGTTGAATGAGGGAGTGAGAAAGAGTGGATGGGGGTTGAACTTGCAGTAAGCAGGGTGCTGACATGCGGTACATCTCAGAGGCGCCCAAGCTGAAGCTGTCTCCCGATGAGATCCTCAAAGCATCCATTCTTGGGTTGAGTGAGAGTGGGAGGACGGGAGGAAGAGCATGCAGTGTGAGTAGGGTGAGTGGGCAGCAAGAAAGCGGCAGATGTGCAATGCATCGCAGAGGCGCCCATGCTGAAGCTGTGTACCGATGAGATCTTCAAAGTGCTGTGGAGGATCTACACGGACTACCTTATGTTGTTCAAATCCACTGCACTTATCACCATCTATCACCATCTATCACCATCCACCCACATTTCTCCTTTTACAAGTGCCACTCCAGTCCAGCACCTCATCACATTTTCCCCTGCTTTCCTCTTATCTCTCTATGTCCTCCCCCCCCCCTCCCCCCCCTTCTCCTTCCCCCTCGTCCCCCCACCCCCCTCTTATCTCCCCAGCTCTGGGCGCACTTGGAGTCAGATGGTGACTGAGAGACGGCCCAAGCGCATCAAGAAACTCAAAAACTCGGGGTCGAGGGACTATATGGATGACCTTATGTCCTTTAAGCCTCCCAGGTGGGAAAAGAGCCCTTATTTCTGGGTGGCATTTTCAGTTTGGCTTACCATGGTGGGTGTTGCCCTGATGTTCCAAGACTGAGGCTTATGGCGAGGCAGCGTTATTTTGAATTTTCGGTCAAGATCGTATTGATAGATGTCCGCAGCCATGTCGCTTGGTCTTTTGGCAGGTAAAGAAAATAAAATTGATGTTATTAAGTTTCCGAGCCAAGGTTAGGAAGTAGTGCTCCAATACTCCGTAGCTTGTGGGAACTCGTTTTATTGTGCACATTGCACTAGTGTTGCAACGCATTGGCAAATATATTACAAAATTGTCCGTATTTATTAAATGGATCCATGGTTACTCTAAACTGTTGCTTTCCTATTAGCCGACTTGCTGGAAAGGACTGGCGTGCATGAAGAGATAATGTAATGTCAAAGATGCCGTAGTTTGAACTCCACGAACACGACTATAAAGTGTAATTGCCCAGTCGTTCTCGCTATGCATTTATCGAGGGTGCTTCATGTTGCGTAGACTGAAGACATTCCGAATCCCAGGGTGATCAGGATTCAGATACTCGCTTTCCAGGAGATCGCGTTAGGAATCAAGTAATCGCGAGCCTCGTATTCTGGTTTCGCTTTTTGTTGTCGAAGCGTTTCATCCATTTCAGAATACTGGTTTGAATGGATGAGATATCTTGCTCCGCTCAGTTACGTTCAGATGACGCAACAGATTCGCCGGGGCTGAATCAGCAATCAGAGCTGGTTCGGCAGCAGCTTCGGTGCCAAGGCTTGGAGCCGTTTCGCGTAGGGCGAGTGTCCTCGGTATACGTGGTCCCGGAGTACCTTACAAAGCAGGAAGAGCAACTGCTGATGTCACAGGTGAGCAGATTCACGGTTGCAAATTTACGTTTGCTGCCTTTCCCTTCGTGTTTACCCGCTGACTCCTGTTTCTGGCGTGCGTCCATGTCATCCTGGCCATCAGGTTGCGTCAGCACCAGTCACGAAGTGGAAGAACGTGACTGGCAGAAGATTCCAGAACTGGGGTGAGCGGCAAGGGAGTCACTCTGCCACTCTGCCGCAGACAATCTGCTGCAGATTGTTGAATTTCTGATTCCTTAGTCTTTTAAGGTATACCTGTTGTCCATTCTCTCTCTCCCTGCCTCCTTTTTTCGTAGTGCAGGCGGCGTGGTGCATGATAAGGGGCTCATAGCTCAACCGTGTGAGTGCGTGTGACTGTGACTGGGTGGTTGCGATAATAGCTGGATGGGTGTGATTTTAAATGGGTGGGAGTGTGAGTATGACTGTGTGATGTGAAGCAACCTCTTCATCATTCCCAGTCTTCATCTCTCCAAGTCCATCAGTCTTTGTTCCCTTTCATCGCCTTCCCAATTTTCCTCGAATTGTTGTGACCGTGGCCGTGGCATGGTGCCTTCTAAACCCCTTTGGATCTTCATATATTTTCTTCCTTTGCCTTCGAATTCACATTTTTCTTCCTTTGCCTTCCAGTTCACATTTTCCATCCCATTGCACAACCTGAAACTGTTGCATGCTCTTCTGATGTCTTGTCTAGTCAGTGCCACAATGGCTACAGAGCTTTACATCTCGCCTCTTTTTGAGTTGACTCACAAACCTTTCATCCCTGCGTGCCCTCCCATCCTGTCTTGTCTAATCAGTGCCACAATGGCTACAGAGCTTCACGTCTCCCTCCCATTCCTGTCTTGTCTAATCAGTGCCACAATGGCTACAGAGCTTCACGTCTCGGCTCTCAGCTGACCTCAGCAGCGTCTTCCCCTCCCCCATCAACCACGTGCTCGTGAACGAGTACCATGAGGGACAAGGCATCATGGTGAGTGGATTGGAGCAATGAGCAGCAAGCAACTAGCGTGAGCACTGAACAATGAGCAACCAGCATGGCTGCAGCACTTCTCATCTCGCCTCTCAGCTGACCTCAGTAGAGTTCTCCCCTCCCTCATATACCACGAGCTCGTGAATGAGTACCAGGAAGGACAGGGCATCATGGTGAGTGGATTGCTAGTGGGGTGAGTGGAGTAACAATGTGAGTATCCGTTCGTCTTCTCCTCCCTCATCAAGTACGTGCTTGTGAATGAGTGCCAGTAGGGGCAGGGCATTATGGTGAGTGGATTGGAGCAATGAGCAGTTAACTCCGAGCACTGAACACTGAATGCTGGGCAATGAGCAACCAGCATGGCTGCAGCACTTCTCATCTCACCTCTCAGCTGACCTCAGCAGCGTCTCCCCCTCCCCCATCAACCACGTGCTCGTGATTGAGTATCATGAAGAGCAGGGCATCTTGGTGAGTGGAGTGCCAGGGGTGGGCACAAAAGGTGTGCTGCAGAAGTAGCTGCTCCCCCCTCCCCCATCTACCACGAGCTCGCGAATGAGTATCATGAAGGGCAGGGCATTACGGTGAGTGGAGAGACAAGAGTACCGTGTCACTTCCTCCCTCAATATTACACCAGCAAGGTGTCCCACCTAGTTGTTTGAATATGTGTGGAAGCACCGATTGTCAACACCTAGTCGTCCCACCTTCCTTTCCCTGTTCTCGCGCTCTTTCTCCCGTCCCGCAGCCACACCAGGACGGCCCGGCCTACTTCCCCTGCGTGGCCATACTCTCTCTCGGCCTGCCTGGAACCATGGCGTTCTCTCCGCACCAGAGGCTGCTGGAAGGCAACAGGGAGGGCAGCAGAGAGAGCAGCGAGGGTGCTTGTGATGGGGCTTTGGCTTTGCTGGAGGAAAGGGGAGAGGAGAGGGAGGGTGGAGCTGAAAGGGCGGAAGTTGGGAAGGATGGAATGGGACAAGCAGAGGCAGGCGAGCGGGGATTGTCAGGCGATGCAGTGGTGATGATGCAGGAGAGTGTGGCTTTGCCTCCTCGAAGCCTGCTGGTGTTTAAGGATCAAGCATACACAGGTGAGCTGGTTTGGTGCGGAGATAGTGTGTGGTTTTACCTTCCGGGGCAACTCGAGAGGGGAGTGGAGTGGTGATGAGGGAGAGTGTGGCTTTGCCTCCTCGAAGCTTGCTCGTGTTCAAGATTCAAGCGTACACAAGTGACCATGTTTGGGGAGATGGAGGCGAGCGGGGTCCATATGGGATGCCGTTGTGGGAGCTATTTCTAACGTGCAGGTAGTTGTGCGAGTTAGGCCGTTGAAGAAGCGGAAAAACGGCATTGGCAACCATAAGTGTATCGCAGTTGATCTCAGCTCGTAGGCGCTTCATATTTTAACAAAGCCTGTTTGAAAGTCTTTCTTCTTTGACTATATCGCCGACGAAGACACACGGCAGGTGAAGAAGAAATATATCTCACCTGCCGCGCGTGTCTTTGTCGGCAATTTAGTCAAAGCAGAAAAGGCTTTGAAACAGGCTTCGTCAAGATATGGAGCGATTTTGAGCTAGGATCAACTGCGATACACTTGTGGTTGCCTAGGTTGTTTTCCCGCTTGTTCAACGGCCTAACTCGCACAACTACCTGCACGTTGAAAATAATTCCCACGACGGGACCAGTGTCCAGCCCTCTTGAGCTTTGACGTTCTAGCACCACCATGTCTAACAACTAGGGTATCAACTGATAGAACATTTTTGAGACGTCTTAAGTGTAGAAAAAACTTTTCTGAGACGTCTCAAAAATGTAATGTCTACACGTGGCGTCTCAAAAATGTTCTTTTGAGACGTCTCAAAAAGGCCTCCTGAGCTTTGACGTTCTAGCACCACCATGTCTAACAACTAGGGTATCAACTGATAGAAAGCGGAAATCTCTGCGAGTAGTTCAATTGATCGGATTGAAAAATAGACGGATCCTGCTGACGGACAATGTTACACAAACGAGGAGATCGACGCAGAGTAGTAGACAACAAGGAAACCTTGCCTTATTCCAAGATGCCTGGAGTCGTAGTGAGGGAGTGTTTGGCTGTGTTCCTCGAAGCCTGCTCGTGTTCAAGGATCGAGCATGCACAGGTGAGGTGAACGTGTGAAAGGGGGGAGGGGGAAATGGGGAGTGGGGTTCATACGGGGATGCAGTGGCAGTGAGGGAGTTAGTGGCAGTGCCAACAAAGGCAGCTCGAGTGGTGGTGATGAGGGAGGGAGAGTGTGGCTCTGCCTCTTCGAAGCTTGCTCGTGTTCAAGGAGCAAGCATACACAGTTGAGGTGGACGTGTGAAAGGGGGAGGGGGGTAAGGGGTGCGGGGCTGACAGGGGGCAAGAAGGGGATGGCATGGCAGGATGACGTGGCAAAATGTCAGGGGGTCGTTAGTGTTATTATACCACCGTGTAAAGTCAAGCATGGAGTGGAAGGATGGATGACGAGCTTTCTGGTCGGGAAAGGGTTAAAGTGCACGTAAAAAAAAGATTGTAAATTAGTCCTAAATTTGGAATTTGTAACACCCCTCCGTTTCTTCTCTGCGATTTGCACTGGCAGATTACCTTCATTCGGCTTCTACCTGTGCGTCAAGCGAAGCTGTTTCATATGAATTTCCTTCATCAGGCAATCCTGTCCGCATATCTTTGACATGTAGATTCGTTCCTCGTACCATGAAAGCCGTCTTCAATATGAGGTGAATTCAGAATCACCTGTCAGAAATGTATAGATTCAACCAGTCATTATACTTTGAATTGGCTAAATGAGAGTTCAGCTTAGTAAGCTTACTCGACTACAAACGGGGCAACTGGAAACGGAGATTCCCAAATCTGCCCCACCGATGAATTGCCTGTCCCTCCCTCCCTGCACACTCCATCAATCCATCCTTTCGGCATTCTCAAAATTTTCAGTGATCGGCATTCCCAGAGCAGAGCTGCGTCTGGCTTCCTAGCTTTCATTGGTTGAGCATCTCCGCTGCGCGAAGCCCAGCACGGACTGGCCACAATCTTCCTCTCAATGGCCTCTCTTCGCGTTCCTTCCGCCGCTCTCCTCCCGTCTCCGCCACTCCCCTGCGACCCTCGTGTCATACTTCCGCGCTCTGTCCCCACTCCGCGCCTCGCCTTCCGCGTTGTTCCCGCTTTTCGACCATCCATCACCGCCTCTAGTAGCCATTCTTTCAGCGAGCAAACTCCTTCCACCGCAACTCCCGCTAGCTTTGATCCCTCTCGGGCCGTCATTGAGACTGCGACTGTCACAACTCGACGCGCAGCTTTAATCGGGCTGTCAGCGGTGATCGCGGCGCAATGCGCGGGCGAAAGCGGAGCAGCGACAGCAGCACCAGGGGGGGACGGGAAACAGCGGGGTCTCTCTGTCGAGCAAGTGAAGGTGTGACTGAAACGCGTATGATTAATCGAGTGAACGAGGTGTATAATCAACAGAGTTGTCAACAGTGCTCCTCTCTCAGTGAAACATCACTCTCAGCATGAAGTTACGCCTATTATTGATCGCTTTGAATGACACGATACTGATGGCAGGATATCATCGCACGTGACATTAGCGAGGGCCAGTACTTCGTTACAGGGGACCTCACAGCCTCTATTTATCGCGATGACTGCAGGTGAGCTGTACTAATTTCTCAGAACTGACGGAATGATTAGTGAGGAAAATCAAGGTAGAATGACCAACGAGGAAAATCATGTGACTGAAACGAATTCGCATTGTGACAGCCTGACAGCACAATGCAAAGCTGAATGATGCCGATTGGATGAACACGATCATCAATGCCCTATTTTATTGTCTTCGCCTGTTTATTGTCTCGATTTCGTTTCAGTGTGCTATAACGGATGAAATGCTCTGCTTTTAATAAATTCACCACTTCAGCGTGTGAAACCTTATCAAAGTTTAGTGCCTCTACCTCATAAACCGTGCACATCACGCATATTGCTTCTTGTGCACACCCATGAAGATCCAATCTGTACTCCATACAAGCATCCCCGTTCCAGGTTCAAGGATCCAACCAATGACACGTCTGGTCTGGCGCGCTACCTGGCTGCTGTGAGCATTCTCTTCGACCCGGCATTCTCCAAGCAGGAACTGCTTTCCATTGCTGTCACCTCCGACAAATCAGTCACTGCCACGTGGCGGCTTGGCGGGTAAGCTGGGCAAATGCGCACTAGCTCATGCCATTTCTGTCCGTTGCTGCTATTTCTCTGACATTCTAGATGGAAAGACACCGCTTCTCTTTTGCCCCTCTTTTCCATCCCTTTTCCACCCCTCGCGTCCATTGATGTCCTTTTCACCACCCCTACCCCTCAATATCCTGCACCCCACCCTTTGCTGGTGTCTCACCTTCATTCTGCTGCTTCTCCTTGAATCCCACGAATCCCTCCAGGTACCTCAAGTTCCCCTGGCAGCCCAGAGTCGAACCATTCACGGGTACAATTATCCATGATCACCTCTCATTACGGACTCTGATTCACATTTTTTTTCCCTTTAGTCTTTTGTTAAATAATTTTTAAATAGTTTGCAATCATCGTGTGCTTATGTATTTTGTTCCAGCCTAATTCCTTTCACGCTGTGAATACGCAGGTTCCACTGTGTACGAGCTGGACGGCGACAACCTAGTGGTGGTGCATAATGAGTCGTGGAGCATATCGCCCATCACTGCACTCGTCGAAACCTTCACGCCTAATTTTGGCCCCAAACAACTACAGTAACTCCAGATTTTTTAGTATATCCGAACCTGTCTTGTGGCTCCTGATAAGATCTTGTAAGAGGTAGTGAAAATCAGTCATTCTGAAACAGATCAAACGTACGTAGGATTCTAACTTCATCTGTAGTGTACTTAGAAAGAAATTGATTAATAGCGAGTATCAGGATTCAGGAGGACCGCTCCCGCCTCCCCCTCCACCATCCAATGCCAGCATTTGGGACTGGTCCCACCCGAGCAACCAACCAGCCAAGTCATTAGAGAGCTATTATCAATCAAACCCAACTCAACCGTTAATAACCGCTTTTCTCAAAGAATTATTTATACCCAACCGCATAGAAGTGAGGGTCGCTATGTCAGGCTAACCAACCTGCATCACCCAAAAGCTCCCTCGAGACTCTAGAGGAGGTATTTTCGGGATTGCCGAGCGGAATAGAGCCGAGGCGAGCAAATCAGGCAGGGTCAGCTCACGAGCCGATTGAGTGATTTGATTGCCTGCTGCGTACGCTGTAGTAGATGCGCTGAGCAGCAGATGCGATTACTAGCCGCACGTGCAGCACCGTCAGGCTCGCAGCTCCGATCCACCGACTAGGAAGGTAGCGCGTGCAGTGGGTTGTGCTCACCAGCCGCGCGTGGATTGCGCGTGTCTAGCTGTATTCGAAACGGAAGCGAAGCCGAGTCGTTTCGCACTGGGTGTGAGAGAGAACGGATGTTGCGTGCGGGGACGTTTAGGCGGTGTTTGTGCAGCTTACCCTGTACAATCAGCAGCAGCTACAGGAGCTTAGAGCTGTGCTGGTGATTAAAGCCGTCGCGCTTGAAAGAATTGCGTCCCTCGTTATAGACACAATAGCCGACTCTTGTTAGCACTCTCTCCGTCTCTGCCGCTCCAACTCTGAATTTTAAAGAAATTAACCGCTGTTTCGAAAGGCACAATCTTATAACTTGTACCGGGACAGCAATGTCGAAGCAGCCGACTGCAGCGCTGCCGCCGTACCCTGATAGGTTTTACATCGCGGCTCGGTACGCGGCGATCCCGGGGACGGTGGACATTCCCGAGGGCGCGGGGAACTCCACTCAGTACTCCGACCTCACATGCCTCGCGCTCTACTCGCTCTACCAGCAGGTGAGTACCAGAAGGTGCGGTGCGGTTGTGTGGTGTGTGGCAGTGCAGCACGGGCCTGCATGTGAGGGCAGCGGCAGTATTCCGACCTCACGTGCCTCGCGCTCTACTCGCTCTACAAGCAGGTGCGTTGCTTGATGTGCGTGGCGTGTTGTGTGGTGCGTGGAGCGTGCTGAGTGAGTGTTGTGTGGTGCGTGCTGAGTGAGTGTTGTGTGGTTCATCATGGTATGTGGTGCGTGCGTGGGGTGATACTTGGTACTTCATGTTCATCAATCAACTCTTCATGTTGTGTGAATACCATCATCAATCATGTTCACACGATGATGCACGACGCACCATCAGTTTACTTTGGCCAACTGTGCGCCTCTTGCCCGTCTCCCCCTCGGCTGCTTGCGGGACATGGTCCGTGCAATATGAAAATGCCAGGCCTCCCTTACTAACATGTTACTTTCCCTTTCGCCCTGCCCTGCCTTTCATTTTGTTCTGCAGGCGGTACACGGGCCATGCAACAAGCCCAAGCCATGGGCATGGAACATCGTGGAGCTCGCCAAATGGCAAAGGTGGGTGGGTGGGTGCATGGGTGGGTGTGGGTGGATTAGTCAGATCAAAGGGCAAATTGGGGGGTATCGATAGACGTGAGCCATGCAACAAGCCTAAGCCGTGGGCGTGGAACATAGTGGAGCTCGCCAAATGGCAGAGGTGGGTCTCCTCCCGAACCCATACCGGAGTAAGCAGATCGGCTCAAAGGGCACGGTCAGTGATTAGAGATAGAGGTGGGCCGTGCAGGAAGCTTAGGGCCCAAGCCATGGGCATGGAACATAGTCGAGGCCGCCAAATGGCAGAGGTGGGTGTGATTATGATAACTCCCTCCCCCCTCTCCTCCCCCCCCGCGGGCATGGAACTTAGTTGAGTCGAGGTCGCCAAATGGCAGAGGTGGGCGTGATTATGGTGAATCCCTCCCCCTTCCCCCCTTTCCCCCCCCCCCCCCCCCCCCCCCCCCCACCTCCCCCTGCGGGCCGAGTGGTTTTTCTCTTCGGTTACTCCCTTGTTCCGCCTTGTCCTTCCACTGTTGCTCTTCCGTCCTGCCTTGAACTTATACCACGTCCTCATTCACTTCCCCCTTGGACGGAGCTCTTGCCTTGCGCCAAAATCAAAGAAATCAAAGAGGCGCCTCAGAATGGCCCGTATGTTTTCCAGTGCTCCTCTCCCCTGCAGTTGGTCGGAGCTGGGGAAAATGGGGCTGGTAAAGATGATTTTTGAATCGACAGAATCATGTTCCCCATTGCCCCCTCTCTCTCGCCCTCCCCCCCTTTGATCGGCTCGCCACACACTGCAGTTGGACAGAGCTGGGCAAGATTGCGCCAGTAGAGGCCATGCGGATGTGGAGACGCGTCAAAAGTCGTCCCACCTCGATTCCACCCCACCCCACCCCCTCTTGTCTTATCAACTCTTCTCCCCACGCATATCATATTACAGTTGGACAGAGCTGGGGAAGATGGCGCCAGTAGAGGCCATGCGGCTGTTTGTGCGAGCCCTGGAGGTAAGACGTTGCTTTTGTCAATGAAGGACACCTGAGGCTCACAGGTTGAGAAAGGTTGAGAAAGGTTGGGAGGTGGTCGAGGCACAATAATTGTGTGGCCTTAGAACAGGCTTGTTCTTCTTTCTCTGTGCGTCCCTGCCTGTGCCTGCGTGCATTGAGGTCGTTTTTGAGGCGCCTAAAAAACGACCTGATTGCGTGGCCTTAGAACCGGCTTGTTCTTCTTTCTCTGTGCGCCCCTGCCTGTGCCTGCCAGGACGACTTCTGAGTAGCCTCGAAAGTCGTCTCATTGGTCTTGTGGATCTTTCTGCTGCAATGATAGTATGTGTTTCCTCTCGTCCCCTATCCGTCTCTCACTCTGGAGACATTGCCAAGAGGACGACCCGAACTGGTGGATCAACGCGCAACTAATGGAGCTGATGTCCTTGTGAGCAATTTCTGAGAATTCTGAAAGATCTTCTCCCAATCTGTGTCTCTGCGTTGTGGCATTGGCAGGAGGAAGACCCGAACTGGTGGACCAACGCACAACTAATGGAAGCAACTGACCCGGTATGCACGCTTTTTGTTCGCCCATCTTTGGTCGATTGACTTTTGAGTCGAGTCAAAAGCCAATGCACAACTAATGGAAGCAACTGATCCGATATGCACGCTTTTTCTTCTTAGTGTTTTGGTAATTGCAGTTGGTGCACTATGCCTTTGTGTGCTCGGCCCACCACACTCGCCCCACCACACTCGCCCCACCACACTCGCCCCACCACACACACTCCACCACCCACCACACTCACTCTATTCTTGAGAGTCCGTGAGTAGAGAAACTTCTGGAAACTCTTGCCCTCCACTTCTTATCTTCACCCCTGCCTCCCCCTCTCCTCCTCCCTCCTTCCCCGCTCCTCTCCCCCTTGCAACTACCCACACCACAGCTTGCAGCAGCAGCAGCAGCAGAGGGGTACGGCAGGGGCCACCAGAGGGCTATGCTGCCGAGGTTTTCCCTGCGATGAACGGCGCTGCCTTCCCCCGGGGTCCCCCTGTGGTGGAGGTGCCCTAGCCCTTCATGTTATCCTCTCTCCCACTCCCTCCTTGCTTCTTCGCTCTCCACCTCCCCCCACAACCACAGCATTCAGCAGCAGCAGCGGCAGCAGAGGGGTATGGCAGGGGCTACCCAGATGCCTATGCTGCTGAGGGCTTCCCGGGAATGAACGGAGCTGCCTTCCCCTGTGACCCTGTGGTGAATAGCCTTAGGCCTTCATCTGATCCTCTTTTCCCTCGCGTTCCCCCCACTACTCCTCTCCCCCGTGCTATTCACAGCATGCTGCAGCAGCGACAGCGGAGGGGTACAACAGAGGCTATCCAGATGCCTACGTAACCTGTGGTGGAGTAGCCTTAAGCCTTCACTTTATTCTCTCTTCTTCACTCCCCTCCCGCACCACAGCATGCTGCAGCAGCGGCAGCGGAGGGGTACAACAGAGGCTATCCAGATGCCTACGCTGCTGAGGGTTTCCCTGCAATGAACGGCGCTGCTTTCCCACGGGGTCCCCCTGTGGTGGAAGACATGGGGGTGATGGCAGTGCTGCGCTCACACGACTGCATCAACAAGTGGGTCGCTGCTCCTGTCACTGGGAGAAAACCGTCAGCCAGATATCAGGTGAGCTGCTGCTAGCCTGCTGTTTGCCTGGCCCTACACCCCCCTCCCCCCTGCGCTCCCACGACTGCATCAACAAGTGGGTCGCTGCTCCTGTCACTGGGAGAAAACCGTCAGCCAGATATCAGGTGAGCTGCTGCTAGCCTGCTGTTTGCCTGGCCCTACACCCCCCTCCCCCCTGCGCTCCCACGACTGCATCAACAAGTGGGTCGCTGCTCCTGTCACTGGGAGAAAACCGTCAGCCAGATATCAGGTGAGCTGCTGCTAGCCTGCTGTTTGCCTGGCCCTACACCCCCCTCCCCCCTGCGCTCCCACGACTGCATCAACAAGTGGGTCGCTGCTCCTGTCACTGGAAGAAAACCGTCAGCCAGATACCAGGTGCGGAGAGGGACGAGCGCAGGGGAGGGGAGGGGAGGGTAGGGGAGGGGAGGGTAGGGTAGGGTAGGGGAGGGGAGGGTAGGGTAGGGTAGGGGAGGGGAGGGTAGGGGAGGGGAGGGGAGGGGAGGGTAGGGGAGGGGATATGAAGCAGTGGGAAGGAGATGATATCAGTGCTGCGCGCACATGACTGCATCAACAAGTGGGTCGCTGCTCCCATCACTGGGAGGAAACCGTCAGCCAGATACCAGGTGCGGTGAGGGGGAGAGGTGTTGCTGCTGCTGCTGCTGCTGCTGCTGCTGCTGCTGCTGCTGCTGCCTTCACCAGATCAGGAGGGGAAGGGAGTTGGGGCAATGGTTGCACACCGCCCCACCATATAGTTGGCAGCAGCATGCATCAAGGATCTCACTTTTCAGAAATCAAAAAAATGATACTGGATAAGACAATGTAGTCTTGGATTTGGAAATAAGTTGACCCTCTTCCTTCCTGCCCCCTCCTGTCCCCGCCCTCCACCCCCTCACGCCCCCTCCCCTCCCCACTCTCCTGTGTGCAGCATGCAGCAGAGATCCTGGATGGCAGGATGTACGCTGTGGGGGGCAACCGTGCCCGGTTCACCAGTGACGTGCATGTGATATAGTCCTCTCCCGTTTCCCACTTATCCCCATTCGCCTTCCCTGCTTCACTCGCTCTTATATGCAGCATGCAGCAGAGATCCTGGATGGCAGGATGTACGTAGTGGGGGGCAACAGAGCGCGGTTCACCAGTGACGTGCAGGGATAGGGGGGCATTCACTTTTTCGCTCTGTGCCCCCTCACCCCCACCCTCTCTTCTCTCTCCTCTGTGCAGCATGCAGCGGAGATACTGGATGGCAGGATGTACGTAGTGGGGGGCAACAGAGCCAGGTTCACCAGTGACGTGCATGTGCTGGACCTCGCCTCTCTCGCCTGGTCTAAAATGGACCTCTCCTCGCCTGCAAACGCCCTTCCCCCCTGTGCTGGGCACAGCCTGGTGAGTGCACATGTGCATTCTTTTGCATGCTTGTGCATGCATGTCGTGCGCATGTGTGCATGTGACTGTTACGTGACGTGCATGTGTTGGACCCCGCCTCCCTCTCCTGGTCGAAAATGGAGCACTCCTCACCTGCCAATGCTCTCCCACCCTGTGCGGGGCACAGCCTAGTTAGTGTGCTCTTGGAGTTCAAGTTGTGGTGCGGTGGAGTGTGGTGTGGTGTGGTGGAGTGCATGTGATAGACACCACTCTGTGCTCGCCTCTGCTCCTCCTCTGTGTTGGCTGCTCTTTCCACTTCTCCTCTGCTCCCGTCCTGCAGGTCATACTAGACGAGGTGACGCTGCTGTGCATAGGAGGGTTCTTCAAGGATGGTTCAGAGAAGATGATAGGTGAGATGGGTTGAGATGGGTGGGATGGGTTGAAATGGGTGGGATGGGTGAGATGGGTGAGATGGGTGGGATGGGTTGAAATGGGTGGGATGGGTTGAGATGGGTGGGATGGGTGAGATGGGTGGGATGGGTGAGATGGGTGGGATGGGTTGAGATGGGTGGGATGGGTGAGATGGGTGGGATGGGTGAGATGGGTGGGATGGGTGAGATGGGTTTAGGGATGAGCAATATGACGAACACCTGTTCGGTTCGCCTCGAACACGTTCGAGGCGAACCGAACAGGATTTTTTTTTGGCCTAAATTGTTCGGGGCGAACGTGTTCGGTGTTCGCCCGAACACGTTCGCCGTTCGCCCGGCTCAGCTGGCCGAGGCGCGTCGAACACGAACGTGTTCGTGTTCGACACGGGCCTTCGACGAACACATTGGTGTTCGTCGACGAATAGGCCCGCGACCAATTTTTAGGTCGCGGGCCTTGGTGTTAGGGCTCAGATCAAGGCATTTCGCCGCTGCTTAAGTGCGGATCAAGGCATTTCGCCGTTGCTTAAGTGCGGATCAAGGCATTTCGCCGTTGCTTAAGTATAGATCTAGCATTTCGCCGTTGCTTAAGTGCGGATCAAGCATTTCGCCGTTGCTTAAGCTCAGATCTAGCATTTCGCCGTTGCTTAAGCGTAGATCTAGCATTTCGCGGTTGCTTAAGTGCAGATCTAGCCTTTCGCCGTCACACGCTGGCACTAGTATGGATGAAGCAGGGCGGGACTGGCTTGGGGGGTGGGGGGAGGGAATGTGAAACATTTGGATTTCACTCTACTTGGATCCAAGAAGCTCCTTTAAGGCGAACACGAACATGTTCTTGGCGAACGTGTTCGTGTTCGCCAAAACGTTCGAAATGTTCGCCTCTCTTGGCGAACTTCGAACACCCTTTCTGGTGTAAAGTGTTCGGCGAACCGAACAGTGTTCGGTTCGCCGAACGGCCATGTTCGAGCCCAGGCGAACACAAACATGTTCGTGTTCGCCATTTGCTCATCCCTAGATGGGTTGCAGTGGTCGCAAAGTCACCACCCCCTCATTATTGTGTCACAAGAGGAAGTGACTGTATTGAAGCTGTGCAATGGAGGGTTCTTCAAGGATGGTACAGGAAGGTGATTCGTGAGATGTGACCATGTTTTGGGTATGTTTCGGTAACCTAACCTGCACTAATAAACATTCCATCTCCATCTGACACCAAGCCTGCTGTATTGGGGTAAACATTCCAAGGCATAACCGATATTCTTGAGCATTTTTTTAGCCTGTTACTGACAATTCGTTTCTGTACGGTTATTTTATCTCACGGCATGGCAGTGCGGGCATTGGACGTGAGCACCAAGATGTGGCGGGTGATGAAGACGCGCGGCCAAATACCCGTGAGTGCACCCGCACCGCACAGCTGTAGTCTGTAATAGGCCTTCTGTACAGCGTTTAGGGTTGGATCGGATGGCAGTTTGGGCGTTGCATTGGATGTAAGCACCAAGATGTGGCGGGTGACGAAGATGCGTAGTAGATACTCTGCCCGCCGAGGTGACTTTTGAGTCGACTCAAAAGTCACGGCGGGTGATGAAGATACGTAGAAGATACTCTGCCCGCCCCACGTATCTGACCTGTGCTCTCTCATTCCCTTTTCCTTTTCTCATCCTGGCACTGACACCCCTGTTCTCTGCAGTGCGCAAGGGGAGGGCACAGCACGGCCAAGGTGGGGTCGACAGTGTGGGTGTTTGGAGGGGAGGACAGCAAGAGGCGGCTGCTCAACGACGTGTACAGCCTGGACCTAACCACCTGTTCACCCCTGTATACTCCTTGAACCCCTGCAGTGCGCAAGGGGAGGGCACAGCACGGCCAAGGTGGGGTCGACGGTGTGGGTGTTTGGAGGGGAGGACAGCAAGCGGCGGCTGCTGAACGACGTGTACAGCCTTGATCTCACTACATTCGTGTGGGATAAGCTTGACACCACGTGAGTGGGTTGTGGTGGTGATGGCTTGTTGGTGAAGGTGTGGTTCTACAGCAACAGGGTGGTATAAGTGTTTGCAGGGCAGGGGAGGACAGCAAGAGGCGGCTGCTGAATGACGTGTACAGCCTTGATCTCACTACATTCGTGTGGGATAAGCTCGACACCACGTGAGTGGGAGAGTTGACTTTTGAGTCGAATCAAAGTTCACCACGTTCGTGTGGGACAAGCTGGACACCACGTGAGTGGGAGAGTTGACTTTTGAGTCGAATCAAAGTTCACCACGTTCGTGTGGGACAAGCTGGACACCACGTGAGTGGGAGAGAAAGAGGAAGCGACTGGGTTGTGCCGGTGATTGTTTGCTGGTAAGGGTGCTCGTAAAACAATACAGCGGTGTGGGAGTGTGGAGGGGAGGACAGCAAGAGGCGGCTGTTGATCGATGTGTACAGCCTTGACCTCACTACCTTTGTGTGGGACAAGCTCAACACCATGTGAGTGGGAGAGGGGATGAGAGTTGGAGAGCGGGCTGTACAGGTGATTACCTCCTGCCTGGTAAACTGCTGTACTGAGGGATGAGAGTTTACCAGATGATTTCCTCCTGCCTGGTAAACTGCTGGTAAGGGGCACTACCCTCACTCACCATCGATCTCACTTCCCTGCCTTCTGCTTTCCGTGCCATCCCTTTCCTGTTCCTTTGTATCTCCAAAGGGACACCCCCTCTGCCCAGGGCGGGCCACTCGGCAACGGTGTACAACGAGCACTACCTCACCATCTAGCTGACCTGATGTCCCTCTTTTCTTCCTTTTTGTGTTGTTTTCTTTACAATCCCTTGCTCCAGAGGAACGCCCCCTCTGCCCAGAGCAGGCCACACCGCCACAGTGTACAACGAGCACTATTTGACCATCTTTGGGGGCGGCTCGCACTCCATGTGCTTCAACGACGTGCATGTGCTGGATCTAGACGCGGTAAGGAGGATGCTTCAAGAGGTAAGAAGGAGTCGGGTGCCTTATTAGGTCATGCATGTGCATGTGCATGTGCATCTTTTATTAGATGTGGATGCGGTACGAGCTGCTGCAGGTGTAAAGAGGTATGAGTCGGTCTCACTGTACTGACCATCTGGTTTCCTCCCCTCCCTTCTTTGGGGGCGGCTCCCACACCATGTGCTTCAACGATGTGCTCGACCTAGACGCGGTAAGAGCTGCTCCAGGTGTGCTCTAGCTCCGTCCCCTCCCCTCTCCCTCCCACTCCATGTGCTTCAACGACGTGCTCGACCTAGACGCGGTAAGAGCTGCTCCAGGTGTGCTCTAGCTCCGTCCCCTCCCCTCTCCCTCCCACTCCATGTGCTTCAACGACGTGCTCGACCTAGACGCGGTAAGAGCTGCTCCAGGTATGCTCTAGCTCCGTCCCCTCCCCTCTCCCTCCCACTCCATGTGCTTCAACGATGTGCTCGACCTAGACGCGGTAAGAGCTGCTCCAGGTGTGCTCTAGCTCCGTCCCCTCCCCTCTCCCTCCCACTCCATGTGCTTCAACGACGTGCTCGACCTAGACGCGGTAAGAGCTGCTCCAGGTGTGCTCTAGCTCCGTCCCCTCCCCTCTCCCTCCCACTCCATGTGCTTCAACGACGTGCTCGACCTAGACGCGGTAAGAGCTGCTCCAGGTATGCTCTAGCTCCGTCCCCTCCCCTCTCCCTCCCACTCCATGTGCTTCAACGATGTGCTCGACCTAGACGCGGTAAGAGCTGCTCCAGGTGTGCTCTAGCTCCGTCCCCTCCCCTCTCCCTCCCACTCCATGTGCTTCAACGACGTGCTCGACCTAGACGCGGTAAGAGCTGCTCCAGGTGTGCTCTAGCTCCGTCCCCTCCCCTCTCCCTCCCACTCCATGTGCTTCAACGACGTGCTCGACCTAGACGCGGTAAGAGCTGCTCCAGGTGTGCTCTAGCTCCGTCCCCTCCCCTCTCCCTCCCACTCCATGTGCTTCAACGATGTGCTCGACCTAGACGCGGTAAGAGCTGCTCCAGGTGTGCTCTAGCTCCGTCCCCTCCCCTCTCCCTCCCACTCCATGTGCTTCAACGACGTGCTCGACCTAGACGCGGTAAGAGCTGCTCCAGGTGTGCTCTAGCTCCGTCCCCTCCCCTCTCCCTCCCACTCCATGTGCTTCAACGACGTGCATGTGCTTGACCTAGACGCGGTAAGAGCCTAAGGTAGCTACTATCTTCTGTGTGATGTACATCGGGGTGCCAGCTGGGCGCCCTGTTCCCTCCGATTCCCGCCACGGCAACAGTGTACAACTAGTACTACTAGCTGTCTGCTGGTCTGCTAATTCTGTTTCCTCTTCCCACAAACCTCCTTTTCTCCTCTCTGCTCTCCCGTCCTCTCGCCCGTCTGCTTCCCGCCAGGCGGAATGGTCCCTAGCTGAGACCTACGGCAAGGTGCCCTCTCCCCGTGCTGGCCTCGTGGGTGTGGCGTTTGGCAGCCTCTGGTTCATCATGGGGCTCTCTCCCCTCATCCCTCGCCCGTCTGCTTCCCGCCAGGCGGAATGGTCCCTAGCTGAGACGTATGGCAAGGTGCCCTCTCCCCGTGCTGGCCTCGAGCGTTGCATCGCTTGCCTCTCCGCTCAACCCCGCTCTCGCTTCTCTCGCCTCTTCCCTTGTTACCCAGGCCGAGTGGTCCCTAGCTGAGACGTATGGCAAGGTGCCTTCCCCTCGTGCTGGCCTCGTGGGAGTGGCGTTTGGCAGCCTGTGGTTCATCATGGGGGGAGGGGACAACCACGGGGGCGTGTCTGAGACAATGCTGCTGGATCTTGACTCGCTGGTGTGGTCTGTGGTTACCACATCGCTGGAGAAGACACCGCTTGCCTCAGAAGTGAGTGAGGAAAGAAGAGATGAAAAGTGTGGGTAAGGCAGGCAGACGGACAGGTGAAGAAAGGGTGGTAGCAGCAGTGAATTAAGAAGCGTGTAGTGAGTCGAGTTTTGAGTCGGCTCAAGGAGGCCGACTCACTACACGCGGAAAAGTGTGGGTAAGGCAGATGGACAGGTAAAGAAAGGGTGGTAGCAGCAGTGAATTAAGAAGGGGGCGTGACGTGACTGAGACAATGCTGCTGGATCTGGACTCGCTGGTCTGGTCTGTGGTTACCTTTTGAGGCGCCTCAAAATTGAGTTTACTTTTGAGGCGCCTCAAAAATCAACTCTGAGACAATGCTGCTGGATCTTGACTCGCTGGTCTGGTCTGTGGTTACCACATCGCTTGAAAAAACGCCTCTGGCATCAGAGGTGAGTGGAAAGAGGGTAGCGGCATGATTTACTGTGTGGTTACCATGGTCCATGGTTACAATGTCACTCCACCTTTGGCATCCGAAGCGTGTGGAGGGGATGGGGTGGATTTGTTACAGTCTATTGCTCAGTAAATTTGCTGGCTTCAGAATCGAGTCAAGGAAAAGATTGTTTCATTCACTTCTTTCCTACCCCTTCTACTGTACGATTTTCTCCTGCCCCCAAACTTCTCTCACCCTTCTCAACCCTACTAAACACCCACCCACCCAGGGTCTGTCGGTGGTACCTGTGGGAACATCGCTCGGTCCTGTGCTTGTAGCGTTCGGGGGCTATAACGGGCGGTACAATAACGAGGTTTTCCTGTTGCTCCCCGACACTGCGGCGCTGCTTAGAGCAGCAGAGGAGGAGGAGGAAGCTGCAGCGGCCGCTACAACCGCCGCCGCTACAACCACTACAACAACTGCTGCTGCTGCTACAGATAATGCTGCTGCTGCTGCTGCTGCTACAGCAGGTTCAGCTTCTCAGCCCCCCACCTTAGCACCATCTGAGAACAGCAATTCCCAACCTGCTGACTCCGTCACTGCATCCTCAGCTCCGGCAGCAGGTTCGGCGGCAGGTTCGGCAGCAGGTTCGGCACCTCCTCCTTCCCTTCCCTCTGGCGCTGCTGCTGCTCTTGGCCCCACTCCTTCCGCACCTGCTGCTCTCCCCCCTCCCGCACCCACCACTGGAATTCCCCCTGCTGCTGTGGCCGCTGGGGGCAGGCAGATAGTCCGAGCAGGATCGGCATCCAATATCATCGGTGCCGCCCCTCCAGGTGGAATCCCAGGTGGAATCCCAGGTGGAATCTCAGGTGGAATTCCAGGTGCTGCTGCTGTTCCAGTGCCTGGGCATGGGCCGCTGTTGCCAGCAGGAGCAGGGGCGGTGGTGGGGGTGGAGGATGGAGGGGAGCTGTCCCCCACGTCGAGGGATGCGGTGCTGCTGGCTCAGTTGGAAGAGGCTGAAGCAGCTGCGACCAGAGCAGAGAAGGTGGCACTCAATGTAAGTCTTCTAAGTCGAGATAAAGGTTAACTTTTGAGGGCTGCTGCTAGCCGTGACTAGTTTGCTGAAGCAGCAGAAGTTTCTCTCGTGTCTTTGGTGCTCTCTCTCTCAAACGGTCCTTTGTATTAATTCAGCAGGGGTACAAACATGCGGTGCTATCCATGATAACCTCCATCCCTTAAGCCCCAAAACTCACCACTCTTCTCCCCCCCCTGAGTGACCCTCTAGCCCTCCAGCGTGTGGAGGATGTCCCCCAGGTGCAGCGGCCAGGGGTCCGCTGCCATCTGGGGGTGCGCTGCCTCGATCCCAGCCCTGGCCTTGGTGTGCAGGGCATTCGCCTGGGAGCGCTGGAGGGCCACTGACCAGCGCTGGCTGAAGTGGCAGGCCATCTTCTTGGCCGATTTCGCCAAGGGGTTGGCCCTGAACCGGTTCCTAGCTGCTGCTGTGGCCAGCAGCTTCAGGAACGCAGTCGTGGTGGGCGCGTTTGCCCCGTAGGTCTCGACGGCTAGGGCGCAGAACACCACGTGTTCCGTGTGTCGGTAGTACTCCCTCTCCTTCCGCCTCTGTGCCTCTCTAGCAGCCCAGCCTGGGGGTTTGCGGGCTGTGGGGTCCCGGTTCTGCAGCACGGGGTCTGTGATAGTGGTGTCTGTGATCCAAGTCTCTCCACTGTCCGGGTCGCGTACAATCACATCGGCTTTCTTCGGGTCATCCGGCGGTGAGTACATGGCGTTCTCCAGGTATACCACCAGCTCTGCTTCCCTTGCCATTTTAGCCACGGCAAAAGCTAGCTGGTTGTGTGTGCGTGTCCTGTCGGGGCCTGTGCTGCAGCGGAGTAGGTGGTTGGGTAGGCTGCAGTCGGCTACGAGTTCTCCACACTCGCACACAGTGGGTACATTCTGTCGGATGCCCATGCGGAAGGCCAGGGCTGCTCGGAATTGTCCCGGTGAGAAGCAAAGGTCCGGGGTCAAAGGTAGGGCCTGCATCCATGCTCCCGCTCCCTCCCCTCTCAGGCTGATGAGGCGGAGTGAGTGACCCATCTCGGGGGCTGACTGGATGGTGCGTGACTCCTCTGTCAAGGCGTCGGCCTTTGCCGCGTGCACCTCCTGAGAGAGGGCGCGTTGCAGCTGGTCTTGGGACGGGGTTTGCTGCTCCTCCCGGAGGTTTTGTAGCGCCAGCGGTGGCAGGCGCCCCTCCATGTCCTGGATGGTTACCGAGTGCGCTGCGGACGGCTGCAGGGTGTTGTTGTTGGCCCCCAGTGCCGCGGTTGCTGGTAGGTCAAGGGAGCGGAGCAGTCGTAGCGCCTCCGTCGTTGATGCCAGGTAGGCCGGTGCTGCTTCTGTTGTGGGGTCTGTAAGTCCCAGCCCGCCCAGGGCGACTGGAAGAGTTGCTTGTCGGAGCAGGAAGTTGAACTCGGCTTCTCGGCGTGGCGGTTGAATGCTGGCGGCGGTCAAGGCCGTGTGCAGTAGTTCGGAGCACCATGTGTGCCATTCCGAGAGGGGTAAGACGTCTGCTGGGGTAGTGCGTAGCAGGTAGCCGATTCTGCGGCTGATGCAACGGGACAGTAGCAGGAGGGCATGTTGTGGGTGGATGGACGCCAGAGAACCCAAGGGGCCTGCCGCGTCTGTCAGGGTACTGCGGACAAAGGCAGAGCAGAAGCTCTGCGACCCCACAGGACTTCCCAACACCCGTACCCCCTCGTGGGTGTGGGGGAGGCCTTCAGGGAGCACGACACCTCCAAGCGGCATGGAGGACCACACCGACGACTTTATAAAGTTGCAGGTGAGGCCATCCTGTGCTAGTAGCGGCGTGAGCTCCCTTAGCGCGTCTAGCGTCGCCGTCGCGGGTCCAATCATGGTTATGTCGTCTGCGTACGCGAGGACGGTGACTTCCGGGTGCTCCGCTGCCACGTGCCTGAGGTGCTGCTGGATAGACGCCGCGAATAGCAGGGGTCCGAGGGGATCCCCCTGTGTGACTCCTCTTCCGCTGGTGAGTGCCGTGGAATTGAAGCATGGATCTAGCAGCAGCGCTCATGCTGATGCGTAGAAAGAGCGTGTGAAGGGGATGAGGGGGGCTAGCGGGGAGCCAATAAGTGCGTTGAAGAACGCGCTCCTCTCGACTGAGTTGAACGCGTTCTCAATGTCGAGTTGGAGGACTAGGCTGGAGGGCTGCACGGTGGTGAGGTCTCTGACTGCATGGATGACGAACTCAGCACCTCCCGGGACTGCCACGCCAAATTGCTGAGGTAGGAAAAAATTTCGCGTTTCTCCTTGCAGGTCTGAGAGTGCCACTTTCGCCGCCAGCCTAAGCAATGTTTCTCCAATCGTGATTGGGCGTACCCCCCCCCCTGGTTTGGCGAAGGCTATAAGGCGGGACGGGGCGAGTAGGGCTGCAACCTCGGTGGAAAGGTTTGTCGAGAGAAGGTGTTTAACGGCGGAGTGGAGGTGCCCTTGTACCTCGATGTTACTTAGCGCTGGATCGCGGTAGTGTTCGAAGGTTGACCCCGATGGGCCAGCCCCAATTCCCCTGGGGCATTCCCTGAGGACGTCCGAAAAGCTTTCCAGGGTGGTTGAAAATTGTGTGGGTGTCGTGTAGGAGTGGACCCAGTCGGGCAGGTCATTTTGGGGTTGGGGGTGTTTCGATTCCAGCTGCTGCAGTGTCGCGAATGTCGCCGGTGCTGATGGCGAGGGTTGAAGGGCCGCTAACGCCTTTCGCAGGTTACCCCTTTTCACCAACCCCTCCGCACGTGAGTAGATTCCCAGCGGGTCACGTTGGTGCTGAGGTGGTTCGGCCAGGTGCATTGACCCCAAGTATTCGGTGTACAGCTGGGTCCAGTGTCCACATCGGAATAGATGCATCTGTGCCCGCAGCAGTTTCCACCTAGAGCTGGATCTCCGGCTAAGTCTTAGCGTGAGACGTGGCAGGAACATGAGGACCCGCCACGCTCCCGCGCAATTAGGCAGCTTTGAGATCCGTAGTAAGGCAGCCAGCATACAGGTGGAGTAGTCGCTGAGGATCTGCGGCGGCAGTCGGCGGACGATTGGTTGGTGGGTGATGGATGTTAGGAGCGTAAGGTCCCAGGTCATCGCGATCTGGAAAAGATCCTCCCGCGAGGCCAGCTGGGACGCAGATAGGGCTTGGTCCGGTGGGGGCTGGGCTCCGCCCGCGCAGCACGTCCCGGCCCCAATCTCCAGCCCGCTCGTGGTCGAATAGTCGTGGGCGGCGTGGCAGTCGCGGGGGCCGCGGACGCGGGGGCGGGGGTCGCCAGTCTGCGTCGGACTTAGCGCGCGCCCTGGAGAGGCTTCCGGACGTGCTCGCAACTGCTCTCCGTGAGTCGCAGGCGGCGACAGCCTGTCGCTCCGTTCCGCCAGACGCTCCTCGTCCTCTTCCCGCCATTGTCGAGGTAGCCAACCGTGCGGTGTCCCCGCAGCGCTCTGTCCAGCAGCCGCCTGTTCTCCCGGGTTTTGTAGGCGCTGGCGGAGCCCAGCAAGGGGTCCGTATCGTGACCCTCGTCCTCGCCTTGAGGAGGCGGAGTATTCATGTTCCACGGCGACCCTGCGTCAGCTGTGGATACTGTCGGAGTGCCTAGAGGCACTGGCGCGTGTTCTCCGGTCGACTCGTGCGTCGATGCCGATATCCCGCCCGAGCACATTTGCTGAGAAACCGCAAGCAGCGTGCTTGGGGGCGGCGGATGAGATCCTATCCCTCTTGGCGCCACTGCAGGCAGCGCCCTCCCCGGGTGCAGACGCGGCCAACCTGCTGGCTCGCGCGGCCCTGGATCTGAGGCACATTGCAGGGTCGGTTGAAGGCACACCCGGAGATGCTCTAACCGCCTGCGTGTCAGTGGTCCGCCACTTTGTGGCAGACCACGCGCGGAATGCTCTCGTTTCTGGGGGCGGACCGCATGTAGGTGCCCCCCTTTGTCTTGTGTAGACCTTCTCCATGATGCCTGCTAGTTGATGATGTTTGTCGCCATGCTGTCTGCTAAAGTTGTCCCGTTACCTAAGCTTGCCTAGCGCCGGAAAATTTGGAATCACCAAATGAATAATGAGCTAGGGAAGGTGCCGGCTGGCCATTATATAGCTGGGGGAAGGGGAAGAGGCTAGGAGGGAAGAGGCCAAGTCCCCCTTTCTCTCTCGCTCTCTCGAAACGAGCACCGGAAAATTTGGAATCACCAAATGAATAATGAGCTAGGGAAGGTGCCGGCTGGCCATTATATAGCTGGGGGAAGGGGAAGAGGCTAGGAGGGAAGAGGCTAAGTCCCCCTTTCTCTCTCGCTCTCTCTCTCTCTCTCTCTCTCTCTCTCTCTCTCTCTCTCTCTCTCTCTCTCTCTCTCTCATGGTCCTTGCATTACTATGAGGGGTGGTACAAAGGAAGATGCAGAACACACAAGCACAACAAACATCCAAACCGAGATCCGAACTACCTCAAGTCTCCTACCTACTCAGCCCCCCCCCCCTCTGTCCGACCCTACTGGTCGAACGGGGCCTCAATCAACTGGTGCAGCTGTCCCTCACTGAGGGGGATGATGGGTCCTCTGAAGCCGAGCTCGTCCGCCGCCAAGGCCTCGTTGGTCTTGGTGCGGAGGGCGTTGGCCTGCGCCCGCTGGAGGCACACGCTCCAGCGCTGGCGGTACTCCGTCAGCAGCTTCGCTGCTTCGTAGGAGGTAGGATCCGCGTTAAACCGCAGCTTTGCCGCCCGCTCTGCGCACTGCCGCAGGTAAGCCATCACCCACGGCGAGGGGTAGCCATAAGTTTCCACTGCAAGCGCGTGGAACCCCACCCACGCGTTCCGCCGTGCGTACTTATCCTCCTTTTTCTCTGCTGCCGCCCTGGCCGCCCATCCAGGAGCTCGGTTGCAGTTCTCGTCCTGCCTTGACACCGGGTCCGTCACGGTCACGTCGCACATCCAAACCTCACCAGTCAGGGGATGACGGATGGTGACATCCGCCTTTAGGTTTTCAACCAGTGAGTAGACATACGTCTCCTTGTGAACCGTAAACC